ATGCAATAACTACTTACAATTTTTCCACTCCAAAACCCAAATCATTCACTCCACACTTAAACAACTCTTGATCCACTCTTCCCTCTCCAGAATCTAGCCTCAACCCAACCACAGGCTGTCTTCCTTCTACCTCTTATTCTTCTCCGACACTATCAAACTCTTCTCCACCATGAAACTCACAACCTGCCATCTGGACCCTCTCCTGTCGCCTCTCCTGAAAGCTAGAGAGCTCTAAATACCTCCCTCAGCTCTGGCACTGTCCGTTATGCACTCAACTAGCCACAATTACACCCCTTCTGAAAAAACCCGGCCTGCAGCCTGACAACCTGGACAACTTCAGACCCATCTCCAATCTTCCTCTCCAAAAAAATAGAACCCAACTCCTCAACTTCCAGCTTCAAACATTTCAATCTGGTTTCCACCCCCATCACAACACTGAAACAGCCCTCCTAAAAGTCTCCAATGACCACCTCCTCGCCGCAGACACTGGTTCTCTCTCCATTCTCCTTTTCCTTGATCTCTGCGCAGCATTTGACACCATCGACCACACCATCCTCCTACACAGTCTACAGTACATTGGCATCTCCGGCACTGCACTCTCCTGATTCTCCTCCTACCTCTCTGACCATCACCACTACGTCTCCATAAATGACTCAGAATCTAACTTCTCTCCTGTCACCACTGGTGTTTCCCAAGGTTCACTGCTCAGCCCCCTCCTTTTCATCATTTACATGCTTCCCCTCGGCCACATCATCTGTCACCATGGACTCCATTTCCACTGTTATGAGGATGACACTCAGGTTTACATCTCCACCAAGTCGATTACCCCAGTCATTCTCTCCACCATTACAAACTACATGTCTGACATTAAAACCTGGATGGACTACAACTTCCTCAAACTTAACAGCAATAAAACAGAACTGCTCATCACCGGACTCAAAGCTCTCCTCCCTTCTGCTCCAAACATCTCCCTCTTCATCAATGGTCGCACTGTTACCCCCTCTCCCTCTCTACGCAGCCTTGGCATCATCATGGACCCTACCCTCTCATTCAGAGCCCACATCAGCCACATCACTAAAACCCCTTTTTTTCATCTTCGCAACATTGCCCGTCTCCGCCCCTCCCTCTCTAAACCAACCACAGAAATCCTTTATCTCCTCCAGACTTGACTATTGCAATAGCCTCTTCTGTACGGTCTCCCCTCCACCCACCTCCAAAAACTGCAATATATCCAGAAAATGGCCGCCTCCTCACCCACACCTGCTCCAGAGACCATATCACTCCTGTCCTCAAGCAACTCCACTGGCTCCCCATACAATACCACATTCAATACAAGGTCCTCCTCATCACCTACAAGTCCCTCCATAACCTGACCTGTCCATATCTCACCAACCACCTCCATCAGCACTGTTTCACCCGCTGCCTCAGATCAGCCGACACCAAACTCCTCACTCCCTCATCAGACAAAGCACTGGACCTAGGGGGGACCGAGCCTTCACCACCGCCTCACTCCCACAGTCCATCAGGAACTCGGACTCACTGCAGCACTTCAGATCACTTTTAAAACTCACGCGTTCAAGCTGGCATTGTCCCCCTGATTCCCCGTGTTTTCTACAGTGTCACTTTCTTGGACACAGAAATGAAGGAAAAGAGGGACAATGATAGAGGGGAGGTAAGAGAAAGATGAAGGGGGAGAGATGGAGATAGATGATGGAGTGAGGAAGACAGAGAAGAGCAAAAGATGGGAAGAGAAAGATAAACAATTGAGAGAGCTAAAAGAGAATGGAGGTGGCAGAGTGTGTTGGAGGAATGAACCTCTAGTGTTTCTGCTCAGTAGTGGAAATCCTCCTCCTGGGCCCCTGGGATAGTCTACATAACAATGTTTCTCTTGCTCTGACAAAACAGCAGTTATATTGCAGTTACAGCATTTTAGTCCTCACGCATTAGTCTTTTCGTTCACATTATGCTTTTTTATTCAGGTCACTCTTTTTCTTTTTTATGACAAGCATTGTGATTACGATTAGATTTGCACATTGTATTTTATAGAATTCTGTTCAGAGAGAGAGCACATTTTTAGCATGTCCAGGAGAAAAACACAAGAGTAAAGACTGAATTATGAAATGCTGAACAAATCCTATGCCTGTAGAAGTCTAAACTACAGGGTTAACAGGTTGTGAGAGTATATGCTTGCAGAGAAATCAAGTCTTGCCTAAATAATGGCAGAACTTGCAATTTGCTAGTAATATAAAATTTTAGATTTGATTGCAATTAATCTAGAAGCCCCACTACTGACATTGTTTTGTGATCTAATTTTGTTAAAGGTCCTATAGGAGCCATTTACTCAAACTATTTAAAACACCCCTTGGTAACATTGACATCTGACATACAGTACAGTCTGCAGGATGCCTCCCTGAACTCACCTGGCCTCATACGTCATGTGGGTCAGTGTCCCACTTGAGATGCCTGATGTAGATCTAATACATCACAGGAGAACAGCTGACCAAAAGGGAAACCACTGCAGTGTCAGCCAAGGACAACTGGAGGACATGACGGCAGGATGGGCAGGAAAGATGGTTGCCAAACATGCACTGGGTCAACTAGGAAGTGCTAACTCTGTTTCCTGTTCGGAATGAGCACAAATGGCCATAAGGTCTGCTGGTGAATTTCTCAAACGGTGAACTACAGTGAATTGAAAGTCAATGGAGTAAATGACTGTAGTCTGATCAACAATACTACCCTTCATTCAGTTTGAGCTTCATTGTCCTGGGATGCAAAAGTAAATGTGCTCAGATGAAATCAATCAGGAAACACAAACCATTATTGACATTTGAAAATATAAAAACTGACATTTTTAGAGATTTTTATATTTTAAAAGAAAGCATTGCATAGAACCAGGGTGTGGTAGATCGTTTTATAGGTGGGCTATTGCCTGCCTTTGCAAGTTGACAATGATGAATATTCCAATAAATAAAGGAAGGAAGCATACTTGGAGGGTAGTAAAAAAACCCAAAACAAAACAAAGGTAACTTCCTTTTGCATACCATTGCCCTCTTTGTTATTAGTTTACCATGCAAAAGTGTTATCAAAATAGTCTGCATCTTCAGCTTAGCATTTGAGTCAAACCCTCTTTGTGTGTAATACTAGTGGCAATGTTGTATGTTGGTACCTGTAATTTCTTTTTTATCTTTTAAGGGGGTAATCATCAGTGTTACTGTGTTTGAATTTGTGTCTTATAATATAACATCTCCACATATGTTGTAATATTTATGAAGCGCATTTAAAAGTTTCAGTTGAAACTGTCCCTCTATTGATTGTACTCAGTGCAAAGTATTAGACCTAATGCATCCCTCAGGAAATGGTGAGAAAAGTTTGGCATCTGTCTTGTGCATTTTAAGCATAATTCTGGAACAAAAAGATTAAAAATTACAATTTGAAGAATAAATACATTAACAAAATGTAGATGTATGTCTCTTTCAAAATCTATCCTGCACGATAATTATGATCAAATGTGACTGTGGTGACGTTTGTGCCTGGAGGCTGAAAGAATAATGAATTCTTGTTTTGTACATTTTTACACTTCTGTCAAATTGATTATCATAATAGACAATAATACAACAAAGCATGTATTTTCTATGAGAATATTGCTTTTATGATGATTATATAATTTGATCAGTTCATGATGGATGAAATCTACACAAGTGGCTAAGGTCATGTGACTGAAGGAACTGGCCAACTGAGCACACTCCAAATGAAATTAACTTGGTCCTTTAGCAGTATGGACTCAAGGTCACTGTTTCTGCTGATGCATTTCCTAGTCCAGAGTAGCACCACAGAGAGATGAGGGGTTCACACATCGCCCCTCCTCACCCACTCCCTCCATTATCATTGTGGTCCTCCCTGCCAGGGGAACTGAGCATTTGCACGTTAAATTAGCCGTTGAAGGGGACTGGGGCTGTTTCTGTCCTCACTGTAGTGCCAGAACTCAGCTGCTGACGTGTGCTGCAGAGATGGATTGGCAAAGGTGTCCTGATTTCCCATGTGACTATGTAATTGTGTTATAATGGAGGAAGGAGCTGAAGAGCCATCAACCAGAGGCACAATGTTACTGACAGCATGCCACTCTTCTTCCTGCTGCAATTTAATGTAGTAAAAGAACTGACTAAACAATATTACTGAAGAACTCCATCACAGCCCTGACATCAGCTAAGGTGCTTCACAGAAGACAAGGCACACATTAAAAACAAGTCAATTCTTATATCTGACAAAATGATTGTTTAGTACTTTCTACTAATGCACTGCTAATTTTTTCTAAATATTTACTGATGATACCCTATTTTCTATATTTGACTTCAACTCCTACTGATCATATTAAACTGGGAAATAGGCATTGAGAGATTAACAAATGTCAAAATGTTAAAATGGAAATAAACTTCCATAACTTTAGTAAAAGTTACTTTTATTTATTTTTCATTGTGTTATCCGAATCCCTACACTAATGTACAATGTAGAGTGGCAGTTCTAATGCACTGCTGTGTGTGTCCCAGGGCAGATGGTGGGTGTTGCCTCCTGCTGTCGGTCAAGTTGCTGTGTCAACCTTCTTCTTAATGATCGTGACTAAAGAAGCGCCTTGTGGCTCTGCGCTGTCACTGGTGATGCATCTGTTGAAGAAGATTTTTAGTCATTTATTACACGTTTTAATTAGTGCCACAAATGTCAAGTAATGATAAATCTAATTGCTAATGTGCAGGTATGGTATGCACTGTTGGGTACTGGGATGGCTCTGGAATCACTGAAGTTTCTTTCTAAATTGAGAACGATTCCTCTTTTTGTATTTGTTTCTTAAGAAATATGGGGCGTGTGGTTTGATAAACTTATGGAACTTCCCAGACATTGATGGGATTAATTATAAAAATACATAATATCACGCCCTGGTGGTTGATAAGCTGATAGTTTGCTAACTATTGTGGTTATACTGACATTTGTTTTGTCTATTCTTCTAGGCACAATGAGACCAGTGCAGAGGAACTTCTATGAGCCTTCGTCAGCTCCAGGGAAAGGTGTAGTGTGGGAATGGGAGAATGACAATGGTTCATGGACGCCATACGACATGGAGATCTGTGTCACCATCCAAAACGCCTATGAGAAGCAGCACCCCTGGCTGGACCTCACCTCTCTGGGCTTCTGCTACCTCATCGACTTCAACAGCATGGCTCAAACCAACCGCCAGAGCCAACGCAAACGCAGGCTTCGCAGACGCATGGATTTGGCATACCCTCTCATCATGGGCTCTATACCCAAATCTCAATCCTGGCCCGTGGGTGCAAGCTCCGGTCAGCCCTGTTCATGTCAACAGTGTATTCTGGTTAACAGTACACGAGCAGCTTCTAATGCAATCCTCGCTTCTCAAAGACGAAAACTGTATGGGCAAGGGGGCAACGCAGGCGCTACCGGGACGTTAACAACAGTGAGACAAAGCAACACATTCGCTGGGACTTCTCTCTGGTCACCAACATCCAACTCCTCAGGCACAAATGACAATAACATTAGTGTGGGGGGAGGACAAGCCAAAGCTGAACAGGTGCAAGTGCCGCTGTCCAAAGCCAACTTCCCCTGCTCCCCTGCGATGCCCTCGCTCTCCTCACACGGCCACCATGCACTCACCATCAATGGGCAGAACAATCTCAACCGGCCCGGCACCCAGCGGATTTCCATGGGTACAGCCAGAGGAGCCATCCCCCCAGGGTAAGAGGAACATCCGGTACATGACTCAATAATGCATCAGTTTAGTATGTTGCCACTGAGGGAGAAAGATTTTTTTTTTGATTGTCAAGGCTGTATCAGAACAAAAATAAAAAATATATAGAATCTTAAAAATGACATACTCCTGAATCAATGAAGCACTAAATGCTGTTAAATCAAATCTGTGAGTTTTGCAGCACATAGCCTGTAGCTTGCATCTAGCCCTCGGCCTGTTTTAAGCAAGATTTTGTTCATGATAGCATATTAATAGATTAAAGTAGTGTATATTTTACAGAAATGTACTCATCAGCATTATTCATCACTTATGAGCCACATGCCATGCAATTTTAGTATGGCTCTTGGGGAAAAAAATAATTGCCCAGCCCAGCTCTAAATGATACATGATCAATGACAGAACTTGATTGCACAGCTCTGTTTGAGTTTGGAAGCTGTGACCAGACTGTAAAACAGCAGGATATCAGTCTGGATTTAACAGGCTAAGTTCTTGGGTGACAGGATTTAACCAATACCGGTGAAGGTAAACTCTCTAAAAAATAGTGATATGGCTTTTGTGACATTTCACTCACTTATATCTTAAGGACTTTTGTTTTCAAGCAGTAATTGGTTAATCAAAGTATACAAACATAGCACATCAAATAAGGTTTTGTTCCAAAGAGAGGGTGGAGTCTAATAGCTTTTTCAGAATTAACTAATTCAAAAGAGACCTCATGCTGAGACACTTAAAAATGTTCTTATCGGTGTATTTGTGATTATGTTTAGTAAACTGCTACTTATTTCTCTTGTGTTGACAGTTCAGAGGACTAGTTTGTCTCTCATTTGTGTGTGTGCGCCATGGTTACCGCTCCATAATGAGCTTATGTTGGCCCCAATAGGCGTGAAATACTGCAGCTCCACTGGATCATTCACTCGGCTCCTGCTTTGAACTCATTTGTTACTATCACACTGTGTGCTTCTGCTGCTGTGTCATGGGATGTGCAAGTCTCATATGTACAGTATGGACCATCACAACTAAGAAGTGCATATTTGTTTCATGATGTGTGCATGGTCACTGGGAAGGCGGCTCTAGTGTAGCTGTGGAAACCATTTACCATAGAGGCGCAGCTCCACTGGGGAAGGATGAATAATGGATCAAGGAAAAATGGGAGCTTCAGCAGAGCGCTCTGACCTCACAGCAATTCGCCGAAATGAACAAAGTATAAAAAAAAAAATATAGAGCCCAGCCTTTATAACCAACGCTCCAGTCCCTATCCTGCTTTCTTTACCAAAATAAACTCTTCTGATCCAATTTGATTTAGGTCTGTCGCTCATGGGGGAAGACACACTTAATGCAAGTTTGAATAATAGTCCCTCACAAAGTCTTGCTGTGGCCCTTTTCTGATCACCTCATTGTGACTAGGCCTAACCTTGTTTCACACGTTGAGAATATCTGTGGCGATATGCAGGATTTATTGGTAAACAGCAACCCCCATAACCTTCTCTATAGGGAGAGCTGGGGTACTGCCAAAGTGCTCTGGCAGAATCTGCGTCCTTGGCTGCATGGTTATTGCTATTTTTAAAACTTTAAGTACAAGAAAGGGAAAAGGAAGGGAAGGGAGTAGTTTCTTTTTATAAACACATTTTCACATCTTCAGCTTTCTATTGTAGACTTGCCCTGGGTAGGCGGGAATGTAACTAGAGTTTAACAGTTTGAACTGCACACATTTCAAAATTATTGTTCCTGCAAAACCAGGACTCACAGTAAGATGACTGTGATCAGTGGAGATGCATACATCACGTGTAACAAACAAGAGACCAAATCAACAAAAAATTGTATACTGTACAGATCAATAAATATCTTAAGAGTGATTATTTGTGTCATCATAATGTATAACCCACTATTTTCACTGTTCTAGAGTTGCATATTTTTAGAGTGACAATCATTTATAGTGTTTTGAAGTGAGGTGGTTCAAATGTGAGAAAGTTTGAGCAGCCAAGAGGAAGAGGACGGGTGCAGCGTAGGTTCCCAGGCGGGTGGCTCGATGTACAGGATGAGTGTGGTTAACATGCACCCTGTGGGACATGAACATACACACAAACACACGCGCACAAACACACAATCATACAGGCTCAGTTGTTAAATGCACATTCCCACAAACAGTGCAAGAGATGACAGGGTGAACCCACACATCACTTCAATCTTCTGATTTACTTTTCACACGCCTAAACACACTACAGGTACAGGGAAGGTGTTGACCATTGTTTATAAAAGAAGCATAAGATTTTTTTCTGTGATTACGCTTCGTGTAGGCAATGCAAGTTAGAAGATCCCCATTTTAGAGAGGTCAAAGGTTAAAGCTTATATATTGATCTTCTGACGTTAAAGAACAATATGCTTTGGTGTGTGTAATGGAGGAGGTTGTGTTCTGCCTACTAAATCATTTTTATTTTGCCTGATGAAAATTTAGACTGGTAAAGTCTGCTGTTTGTGTCAACACATTATGTTTCCTTCACTGAGTTCTGTCAACTTAATACCGCTGTCACTATGGATTTTGAATGTTTTATAGATAGTGCCGAGTTGCATCCAGATTCAAACAGTCCAGTTCAGGAGCACTGCTTACATGTGCCTTTTAAGCCGTCAGATATATAGTTCTTTAGCTGTGAATGCTAACACAACACCTCAAATTGATGATGACAGGTAAATTTCACATGATTTGTTTCTCAGGCTCATGCTAACCACTTCCTCTCTTTTTCTGTGAACATCTGTCACATGTGCAATGCATTTTAGGTTTCTGTATTTTTGTCAACCTCACTGGCACTTGTAAAATTATCCACAATGGACCATGAAAACAAGACAAAAAAAAAAGTGGCATGGATCTGTATCTTGTAAATCTAGAAACAATTGTATACAGATTTGATCAGTTTCAGGGCCACTACTTCTATAGGATTTTGGACCATATATATAGCTCCTGATAATATAAGGATGTGTATCTAATGTAATTGGATGGACATTGCTTTTAAGTACAAGGCAAAACAATGCTATGCAAGCAAAAAGTATAATTATCTGATACTTTGTTCTTGTTCAAATTAATATAATATATATGAATAATATAGAGTAATACTGCTTGAATGAGTGAATAAAGGATCTCAAGTGGGACTAGACTCAAATTTATGGGCATTTTTGGTACTACTGCTTATTGCTTATTGGGGCATTTCAAGTAGTGGCACAGTGTTTGTGTTTCTGTGGGCTGGACTTGCCTCCCACTACTCGCATCAGTGTAATTAAATACTTGCAATGGGCTCTCCCTCAATCCTCTCCCGTCATCTTCATGCTGCGTAATCAGCGCATGATTACATATTACTTTGGCATCAGCATTTTTGTACTAGAAGTGCTCTAGAAACTTAATTTGGGAGTGATTAGGTTGAGTAAGACTAGGGAATAACAGGAAATGAGTCTTAATTTCATCTGTATTGTGTTTATGAACTAAATACAGTTCACAAATGTGTTTACTCTAGCCTATTATAAAAATCATAAATTTTATATATATAATATTCCATTATCATGACGCTAAACTGTTAAACTAACACTTATGTTAATCTGAGTTTATTATCAGTTACATATTATTGCAGGAATATTTGTTTGAACCTTTTCACTTTTATGTCTGTAGGATTAGATGTTCTTTCACAATATATTTTAGTGGAAAGTGATTTTATGTCATTAATCATATTTAATCTGAAGTGAAAGACACAAGTCACTTTTTATGTCTGAGTTTTTGTGAATACATATTAAAAGAGGCCAACTGGTTATTTTTGTTGTGTGGGCATGGCAACTCCATGTGCCCTTTTTCCTAAATCAACTAGATAGGCTTGTGAATTCTCAGTGGGCAACCGGTGGCCAGTCACAGAGGAGACTTGGTTCAGTGGTAGTAGGAGAAGATGTAATGTATTCTGGGATTCTTAGAAAATGTTTGCCTTTCAGTAGTTCACATTAAGTACACGATGCAACTTTTCTTGACTCCATAAAGATGTATTGCTTTGGGGTATGCATATTCTTGGACAAAATAAGGATAAGACTTAACCTGGTTCACGCCGGACTGATGCGTGTAGCACTCTGAATTGAGTTCTGTCAGTCTGGGATGGCTCTTGTTGAAAGCAATCAGAAAATGAGGAGTGTGATTATTTGAATCTGATTGATTGAAGTATCACAGCAGAATAAGCCGAAAAACATTTGTTGAATCCATTTCTCTTGAATCACAAAAAAAAAGTCTTTTTTTTTTTGTGGCAAATATAGGTTGAAGAACATCTGTTGGCGTTGCCATGTTTGTTTTGGTTTGTTTGGGCACTTGACCTTTGACTTCCACACAAACCTCAGTGCTGATCTGTGATTGGTTTGCCTGCATGCTTTACCTTACAGAAGGAGTCTCTCGAGGTGGATTGTGAACTCACAAGTATCACAAAAAGCTATCTTGATGTTAACACCAGGACTAAGAAAGAACAGTAAAAGGCTAAGAGAGACTCACACTGTACATATAACATAAGTTCTGTCCTTCATTCAACATTAATTTTGGAGAGGGGACTGAGTCCACTGTGCTGAAGGTAGATATCTCAGAACTGAAGTGTACACAATAACGGTGCTGTACTTCTGATGACTCATGACAGATGAAGTACAGAGGCAGTTGTATTGTCCTGTTGTGGGACTGTTTTACAGTGGTCTTGTTAATGTTCATAAGTTTTTTTACTGCTGGCTTGGGCTTTTTTTGTGCTTGTGTGCAGCCGTTTCATCAACCTTGCATATTTATTATGCAGTGCAGTTGAGCTGATCACAACCAGTGTAAAGATGAAAAGGCATTTTTAATTGGGTTTCCTTACACATGAGCATAAGATCCTCAGTACTTTATGCCTTTGTTTTTGAGGTTAATTTTATTCTGTTTTGAGTCACACGCTGTAAAAATGCCTTTGTTTTTTTGGAAACTGGCATTGGTTAAAAAAAAACTATACCTCCAAAAATCTTTGGCCAGACTAAAAATGACAGATCGCAATCATGCCACATTATGGAATTTTTGCTGCAGAGAACTTAATTTTTAGGCATCACTTTTCAGAGATCAGTGTGCCTATCCTTTTATTTTGGATGATGAGGAGCCCAGCTGCTTCTCTTTCTCAGTTGTGTTCTTCAATGACATTCAGTGTGTTCAGGTACTGAGTCGAGCCTGTTTTTGTCGGTCTCTCTGTCGCTCTGACTGAAGGTGTGAAATCAGCCAATATCATCTCTACTTGAATCAAAGTAGAGCCCTTTATAGTCCTGTAAACCTGCATTCATTTCATGTAAGAGCTGTTTTTTATTTGTCCTTTATTGTGGTCCATGCACAGAATAGGTGTGATCTTCTCTCCTTGTATCCGGACCAATGGTGTGCGAAACGATGCGCGTTTACTCCCCAGCACAGAGATGAGATTGGACAGCCTCGCTCGGGCCTCACATCCTTTTTGTTATTGCACTCTGGCACAGGAACAGAGCTCTGCTAATATCAAAGCGCTCTCTTGATGCAGATTTGTGAAACGCTGCAGGCAAATGACCTGAGCCACCGCGCAGTTCAACATCTCATATTTATGTGCTTCTGCGGTTATTAACATCAGTAAATGCGGGCTAGGAAACACCTCATTATTCTGTGGCCTTTGTTACCTTGCCTGTATATAATTACAATTTATGAATTAATCTAATAAAAATGGTCAGCAACATGAACTTAAGTGTGAAAACAGCACTATATTTCTGTTTTATATATACTACTTTGAATTTGGATTTAGTACATTGCTTATATCAGGGTGCAATACCGGTACACAAATTATACTTTTTTTTTAATCTTGATTGCTTGAGTAAATGCAGTAGCTTTGATTATTTGTGGTGGCACTGCTGAACCTTGTATAGTGCTGTCTCAATACCCACTAGGCATTCAAACATATGAAAATAAAGAGTGCATGTGTCCAATCTACAAAATTTGATTAAAATATTAATTTAGCAACAAAGATTTTCTTTTCACAATCACCATTTCTCCAGATTATTAGGGTGACAACTGTTAAAAAGCTACTTCTAAACACCTCTTGTATTGAAATCATGCTGTGTGTATGCAGTGAACTCCATCCTCCCCAAATGTCAGCCCGAATCAGTTTTAGCTGCTCTGCTTTGTCCATGACTCAGACTGTCTCATCCCATCGTGGTCGTCCATGTCTCCATAGCCAAACGCATGTGACATTTTATCACCTCTGTTTTATATCACATAGAGGGAACAACATGCTCCTCTCTCCCTCACTTTAATGGCAATCACAACCCAAGACCTCTCTGTGCTGTTTACAAGGTGCGAAGAAGGCATTAGCTCCCCTGAGATTAAGTGTTTTCATATTTGTTAATGGAAGATATGTGTGTGTTTTTGTTGTTTTTTTATACCTAGTGTTCCTGCTCTCCCAGTGAAGAATCTCACCGGATCCGGACCAGTACATCCAGCACTCGCAGGTACAGTTTGACTTGTAGCATCCCAAAAATATTATGTCAAGGCATGAGTTGGTCTGGGTCAAAGTAAAGCAATGGATCAATGTTTCAGTTGTCTAAATTTGTGCATGAAATTGCAAAATAAGTACACTAGTGCAAGCATAGCATTTTACAAAAAATGTATTTACATAATTTTGGAATTGATGCCCAATACTGGCATGCCATGGTTAAATTTTTGGAAACGGTGGTGTGGCTTTTAATCCCATTCCTAAGCAAGTGTGTTGAGCAGAATTTGTACAGTAGTTCAAAGTTCTTTACAAAATAGGAAAGCCATTAAAAGCACAAACAAATAAAAACACCATAATAAAATTTACCTCAAAAGAGAAGATTGTGGAGTAAAAACTTTTCATGTGCACAGCCAAACAGAACCCATACCTGTCTCATGTCTAATAATACCTATTCTTACTCTTATTGACTTGCCTTGACGAGCACGCTGTATTTATTGCTTTCTCCACTCTCCTGTGTGTTGTTCGTTTGTTGGTGTGATGTGGCTGCTGCTGTTCACATGCGTCAGGTATGACAGGTATCCTGATGTGCGCTGCAGGTTTACCCGTTTGTCTGACGAGAGCCCCCAAGCCCATCCTGCACCCGCCCCCCATCAACAAGAGCGACCTAAAGCCTGTCCCAGGGATCAACGGCATGCGGCGCAAAACCAAAAAGAAGCACCTGAGGAGAGGTAGGAAGGACAGTGGGAGCAATGGAGCGCAAATGTCGAGAGTCTGTATTTTTAGAGTGTAAAGTGAAAAATATGAAATTCACTGGAGCGAAGAATGGGCCGACCACTGACAGTTTGTAGACTTTGTCTTGCTAACCAAAAGAAATATGCTTTTGCTCCATCTGAGAATTGGGTGATAAAGCTACACATTTAATATCCGATTAGTAAGCTGTATGATATCTGACATCTAGACTTATCTTGGTAATACTGTCTAGAGTTGCTACTGTCTGGACAAATAACTAACTTATCACTTAACTGTGATATGAATGTAGTTTCTGCTGATTAATAAAATTTTCCTAGTACAATTGGCAATTGGCAAATTTATGGCATCATACTAGATGGCAACATAAACACTGTTGCTTGTGTTTTCACTGTTATATTTTTAATCCTCTCCATTTACTGTGAATACTATAATAGCCATAGATTTCAGACCTCCATAAAAAGTAAGTGGTGTTACTCTTTAGTCTGATTGATGGGGGCATTTGCAGGCACAGTAATTAACAGGGGATAGTTGTACCAGTGTCTCAGAGTGGATCTAGGGGCCAGTCGGACGTCCGTCTACTTAAATAAGTGCTGGTCAGTTCGAGCTGTGGAAACCCTGGCCTCTCCCGGGAGCCTTTGTCCTAATTGATCGCTGAAGCTGTACGGTTTATTTGCTTGCACAGAGCTTGTTTTTCCTCATCCTCCGTGTAGACGTTTGCTCTACTCTGCACACGGATATACCTGGGGGGTGCGTCAAGAAGATCATTGTGGGGTTTTGTTTCATTATTATTATTATTTTATTTATTTATTTTTAGAAAAAAAAACACAAATTAAACTTACCATTATGACCCCATCTACTACATTTGCTTATGTGCTAAAACTGCCGTAAACTGCATTTTCACTTACCATTAGAGCCAGCAGCTTATTCACTTTTCTCAATTGTATTTGGTCTGCTTGGATTTCTTCCAACAGCCAACTCTTCTGTCCCTATTGCATCACCTGCCTCCAGCCTTTTCTTGAGTGTCTTTGATCCTAGACAATGATCACTGAAGACCAGAGACACTAGTCGTGGTGCATTTATTATGATAAATTATAAATAAATATAATATTCTGATCCAGGCATTCCAGTTTGCCTGGAAAAACTTGGTCAAATTCAGTAATTATATACTTCTATACTTTGAATTATCCACCAAAGTTTAAGGTAACATTGAGGTTCTAGAAAAGTCCTATATAAGGTAATAATTTTCTTGCTACCCAACATGTCTCAAGATGCTATAATAGTAATTTGTTTAATTTTCATTTTAGGGGTCATAATGTTATGTGATATGCCAATTAGAAAAACAGTGTTGAATTAATGCTTGACTGGAGATGTGGTATTCTCTTGTGCAGTGAACTTGACTCTGACTAATTTAAAAGGTCAAAGCTGTGATCTGACTAATGAAGACATCAAATACTAGTGGCAGTTCACACACGACTCTCTTGTCTTCCTCTCCTTTACACCTGACAATTTTCTGCCTTGGTTTGCCCCCTCGACCGCTGGCGTTTGCCCAAATGAACAAACAAAGGGGTAATAGAGGTTGTGTGTAAGCGTATTAACAGTTTAAGCCAGGGGTGCTCTCAGCCGTGCTCACTGGGATTAACATGGAGTGCTTGGATGGCTGCTTGCTATGTGTCAGTTTGAAGGTGACCTCACTGAAGTGACAGAAATCTATACTGTGTTTCAGTTAAAAAAGCAAGATGTAGTCACTCCCTTGTTACAACAACTGAAGGAAACTTAGTCATCCATCAAAATTCATTTTAAAAGACAGACGTATTCACTCTGTGGTGTGTCTGGGCTATGTCTTATTTATGGTATATTCCAAGTAGGGCAAAATGTTGCGACAAATTTGATCTTGACATTGTTACAGCAGTGAGGAATTGTAATAACTGAAAAGCTTAACTTGTGTATTATTGCCACACTACATGTGTTTATAGTAATCAAATTCAAAATCTATATACAAACATGATTTTGTGATGTCTTTTTTACTAACAAAACTTCAACAGTGACAGGACAGCAAACAGCAAATATCCAACCCTAGTGACATTATTACCCACCTTACTTCTCCAAGCTGTATGTCTCCGATGTTCATCTTTTGTTTTAATTCTCCTGTAGGAAAAAATCCTGAGGATGTTGTGAGAAGATACACAGACAAGATTAAAGTCGCACCAGATGAAGTAAGTACCAGAGAAAAATGTGCCCATGGAAGGGACACAGTCTGTCACAGTTTGACATCCTAACAAAGTGTGAAAGTGTCATAAACGCACACTGTCAGACCCAATGGCAGCTCAAGTATTTTGGTTGGTTATTCCAGGACTGTACCATCTGTATGGAGAGGCTGTCCATGGCGTCAGGATATGAGGGCGTCCTGCAGCACAGAGGCGTCAAGCCAGAGCTGGTGGGCAAACTTGGCAAGTGTGGTCACATGTACCATCTGCTGTGCCTGGTGGCCATGTACAACAATGGCAATAAGGTGGGTACAGGCCCGGCAGCCAGACATTGGTGTGATGTCACTGCAAGCAACAGTACTTTGCATACAAGATTTGAGAAATAATGACCGAAGTTGCAAATACATTTTAGAAACTTAAATGGCATTGTCAGATTTCAGTATGAGCGTCCTCATTTAGGACCAACAATGTAATTTCAGTAATGGGTAATAAAGTGCAATTTTCGCATTGGCTTGTTTTAAGATGGATGCACAGTTCTACTATTGAACTGAGGATCATTTACCTGTATTGTTATCTGTATTGTCTTTATCCAGGATGGCAGTCTGCAGTGCCCCACATGTAAAACCATTTATGGGGAAAAAACAGGAACACAGCCGCCCGGGAAGATGGAGTACCATGTGATCCCCCACTGCCTTCCTGGGTACCCTGACTCCAAAACCATTCGCATCGTCTATGACATTCCTGCTGGCATCCAGGTCAGAGGTTTTCCCTTTCTAAGTCTATTTCTCTTAAACCAATGCAATTATGAATGTTCATGAATTCATGACATTAATGATCATTTGAAATTAATAAACAGCAGAAGTAAATACATATCATACTACTTAAACTAAATATTAATGTATACACTATTCATAATTATTCATAACTTGCCATATCTACCCATGTCATGGTAGAATAATGAAAAATAGCCTCAGTAAAATGATGAGGAGAAACATTGGTTCTCATAATCACACAAATTGAGAGGTGCCGTTATAAATCGTAGCACAGAAACATGCATTTGTTAAATTATGGAATTAATGTAGATTTATAGCTTGTATATGAAGGTCATTTGCTTCTTTAGTGTTGGGTTGCGGGTTGATTTGTTAAGGTTGTGCAGGAGAAGTGGGCGGCATATTTCATCCTGACTGCAGAGACCAGCTTTAATAGAGTCAATAAACTGACCTTTTCCCACCAAACCAGCAGGATTAGTGTCCCCTGGGAAAACCATGATACTGGAGGTCATCGGACAGGTCAGGTCAGCAGAGTACAATGCAGTATTTCACACCCAACGCTCACTCACTTTGAATTCAAAGATAACAGATATTCCTTTAGTGTGAAGAGAATCATAACCATGATATTTGAATCAATTTATCAAAAAAGTTTAATGTATTTTTTAAAACACTGTTTGTTTAGTCCAGGGGGGAGGCTGGATTTGTTTATGTATGCTCCAATGGGTCTGAATCAGTGCACGAAAAGAGAAAGGGAGATGAGAGAAGCGTTCCCACAAATACCCCAAATCCTTGAAATACTTAAATTCATAAAATTTGTCTAATGTAATATTTTGTTGTTTTATGCAAATGTTAAATAACATGGCACCAGAAAGTCACCTTTTTTTTTTTTTTTTTTAAATCTCATCAATGTGAAGCACTTGTTTTGTAGCTTTTATTATGTACCCTGATAGAATTTTCTCATTTTTTCTGTTCTTAGTTCTGTCCTTTTGTGTCTGGACATATTATCTATGTCTTATATTTTATGGTTTTCAGACCAGTGAACATCCCAACCCTGGAAAGAAGTTCAGTGCAAGAGGTTTTCCACGACATTGCTACCTCCCTGACAATGACAAAGGCAGGAAGGTGAGCAGGTGTTTTTTTTATTTCAACTTTTGTACATAAAATATACACTTATTGTGTTCACTTGCAGTTTTGGTTGTTCTATTGCTTAATATTTCATCCCAAATGCAACTGGGATGCATGGCATTTTCTGTTACTTTTCTGTCAGAAATTCCAGGAAATTCTCCAATAAATTATATACAAATATTTTGTAATAATTATGTTATGCTTGATCGGTTTATAGTTAAAACCATATCTGCTATAACCTTAAACTTAGGTTCTGAAGCTGCTGATCATGGCCTGGGACCGCCGCCTTATCTTCACCATTGGGACATCCAGCACCACGGGGGAGTCGGACACTGTGGTGTGGAACGAGATTCACCACAAAACTGAATTTGGCTCCAACTTGACGGGCCATGGCTACCCAGACCCCAACTATCTCGACAATGTCCTCACTGAGCTGGCAGCGCAGGGGGTTGGCGAAGACAACTTAAAGGACTGATAAGCGGCTACAACTGCTTTGCTGATTCACCGTTCATGCCAGAGTGCATTGCATGATGGTCCAACATGCCGCCCACAAACTCAGACTGTGGAAGTGGCAAAAGAGCAGCCACATGATATGGTTATGAGTAATATTTTGATTCATGTAACCAGAGATTTCCCCTGTGAGCATGTAGTTCACACCATATTTTAAGGTGTAAGAATGTACTGACGTGGTCCAATGTTGGCAGCTGGAGGTCAGTGGATGTTAATTGCTTGTCGCGTTGCTTTTGTAGTGATGATGACGGTGCTGACTTTCTGTGTAAGTAGAAAGAGTGGAAAGATGTCAAATGGCTAACGCCTCAAAATGAATGTTATTCGCATTAATGTTTCCACACAGCGATGTTCAAGGATTTGCTGTTTTAAGGCTAAAAATATAGCACTGATTTTGAGGTCAAATGAATAAATTTATCCTTTTTTGGAAATTCACTTCTAGTAAAATATTGTTGTTTATCCAATTAAATGGATTTTGGCTTCAAAAGTGCTCTGGGCAATGATGCCATTTTATAAGCAGCTCTATTTAGTAATCCTATGGAGTGCATGAAATAGATACATGAAGGATTTTTGTCAATTGCATTTGTATATTGTGCTTAACCTTGTGGAGTTGTCAGTTTTGGAGAGAATTCCTATTATAGGCTGCAAACTGGGCAGTTTGTTGCTTGTTGGAAGATGTGGTTAGTAAACAGATATGTTGCAATCCAAGGTTAAACTAGTTTGTTTTGGTCTGTACTATGTTCATGCCAACTTTTGCAAATGTACTGCCCACATTATGGTTCTCACTGTTTGAGCAGCCACTGGCACGACCTATTACAGGCCCCTGTAACATGTGACTGTGGCAATATTGAGAAGAGAAGATCAACACAGGTGTCCCCAACTGAAACCACAATGTTTTTTAAGCCCTTCAAAAAAAGTATTTTTAAAACTGTCTTATTGTAGCTAAATCAGGACTACGCAATGTTTAAACTAGGGCATAAAATGTGTCATTCAGAAAAATCTAGGCGCAAAATTTAGTTTAAATGAAAAAAATGACAAACCACCCAACCAAATCTGACTCAAATTAGGAACAGGAAATATACAAATCAACCAGGTTCACCAGTGGTTCACCATACACGGTATCAGTATGGGCCTATGGCAGCATACAGTTTGAGAACAACTTTTAGTATACCTCTTAAGTCATTGCATTCAGGTCTAGAGCTAGCTTATTTGTTAAAGTGACTCTTACTTGAGTGCTATTATTAGGGCCATTTGTAAACTCTCTTGGCTCCTTTCCACCAGCATACAATTTGAATATTACTGCAACTCTATTAGCTGAAACCAAGTCTTGCTATTTTCCCTTTTTAGATTTAATGTCCTTGAGCTAAGGACATCCTGAAGGTCCAAGATGGAGAATGCTTTCTTCACTCAGAGATAAAAGATTAAGCTGCATAATTCTACATAAATTTATCCAATCAATTATAGTTTGCAGAGCTACTGTGTGGGCACCAACCAGCTGTGAGCTACATTATGGAGTGAATCACAGTCTTCCATAGCACTTTGAGGCAACTGTTTGATTTCATGTTTTAATTGTATTTACAACAGGTTTTTTAGGTTGGTGTTTATAACTAGCTTGCAATGCTTTGAAAATTATATATATTCTACATTTCCAGTGTTATACGGTATGTACCTTTAAACTTAAGCTCAGTTTGAGTCAATGGTGTAAGTTTATTTATTTTTATATAATCTATTGATATATTAATGTCAGAAGATGACTCTAGGGGCCCAGATATAGACCGGCACATTTTAACATGAATACATACAAATCTGGCAAAGAGACATTTGTCAGGGTCAGGGACTGTTGAAATATGTATGACATGTTATGAGCGTCTAATAATACAAGGAGTGAAGCATTGTACAGCTGTCCTCGTGGAGTTGTGGGTTCTCATAATCAAATCTATTGTCAAGTGTTACCCCAAAATTCTATTTCATTTTTTGGCCAGCATGGTAATTGTCAGTATTTGTTTATTTAAAGAGAAGGGAATGAAGAACATGATACCAGGATAAGAAAGAAAAAATATTTCTTGGTGCATTTTGATAAATTAGGGTATGGTAGAAAAGTTCACAGTAAGGCGGACTTCATTATTATAATATGCATAGTAATTTTGTATATTCTGTTGTAAACAATTTTGTTTTTAAATTCAATATCTTTCAGAATGATCTACCATTGATGCCCTTTGCCTTTATCTGCGTTTGGAGATGTGTACACTGAATTGTGACATCTTGTGGGTGTACTAACTTTAAGCAATAATCACTTGTAAAATATTTTAGTTTAGACGTAAGCATTCTAGTTGTCATACAACCCATATGCTTTCACTATAAATAAACAAAAAATACTTTGCTCAAAACTCAAATTTCTTGGTATGCTCCTGTAAACATCTTTTGACTCTGAACTCCACAATTCCAATGCCCTTTACAAAAACATGACAACACCAGTAAATGCTTCCAATGTTTCAGGGAATCTTGCGGCCTCAAGTATCTTTGCGTTTCCATTTGTCAGTTTTAACTAACATGAGTGACGCCGGCCCTTTAGACTTTTCAGGTGTGTACAGATTCTGTGGACTTTTGTTTGTCTCAAATAAGTCAGAGATGATGGTGTTTATGCAATTTACTCTTTTGTCAAAACATATATATTCTTCATTACTTATGTGTAGCAACATGGCAGATCTTTGTTTTTTTCAATGACAATGGATGTTTTCCTTATGGGGTGCCTACCTCTGTTTTTAAACTAAAGGTTGAGATCTGAGGATGTCCATGCAATGTATTAGAAAACATATATTTTTATGTCTTTTATGACTGATTGTGCTTAAAAGAACTATAACATAACATTGTTGTTTATCAATATGTGTTACATACAATATTTGTTTTATATTGCATTACAAATGACAAAATATTTGTCCAGGCATTACATAGTTCTATATATTCCACACACCGATCAAGTATAACTTTATATATGTGTATAATAACTTAAAAGAAATGTATGGCTAAAGGATTTTCAACATCTCAAAATGTTTAGTGGTCCACATCCTCAAATGCAGAGCAAAGATGAACCCGTGGTGAATCAGCAGCCCATGGAGATAACTTGACCAGCACACCTTGTCGCTCAAACCAGTAGATTAATGTTGATCCTTTTATAGGAACGTGTTTGATGATGGTCATTGTTATACCTGATCGGTGTAGATCTTCTATGTCCACTGCAAACTGTGCTACTTGCTCCTAAATGCTGTCTTGCTACATTTGTGTGAGAATGAATTGAATTTGGGTTCATGTCCTTTAAAAGTACAGTAATGTTCTCCTAGAGGTGCATGTTAACCTGTGAGCAAATCCAACAAATAGCCTTTTTCTGTGTACAAAATGTCATAGCTTCAGTAGGAGACATCACCAGAATAGAGTGGTGACTTAGCACTGTGCATCTTTAGCCGAGGGAGGAGTCACGGAGTGGCGTTTGGCTGCTCCCCTCGCTCCTCTGACCTGTAAACCACATGATTGTTTTAGCATTTTCAAGTGCCCATTTCACACTTTCTCTTGTAAACAGTGTCTTCATATTAACACATATATAGTCACTGGTTCAACTATAAAGGGCTTCTTATTCCTAATCAGTCTTTATTGGATGGTGATGACATTGTTGCATGTATGTGTCTTTCTTGTGGAAAATAAACATACCCACAGCAGGGGAATTGGTTTGACCTTTTGTCACCTTGGCTCTGAGTATTTTTTTTCCCATAATTCCCTCATGTGCAGCTCATTAGATGGATAGAAATGAACTGAGCTAGATTTTGTCTTGCTGCCAGTACTTTTACTTATTTTCACCTTGCTGTCAAAAAACATACATAATCTCAATGTGCAGTGCACTACACACACCTCTAATGAGATTTTGCTATTGGGTAATAAGGTCTACAGCTGTTGCATTACTACTAGATAATGGCAGCATATTTGTTTAGCATACTCACATGTCCTTCCCAGTTTAACCCTGTCAATATTTGGGGCTAGCACCAAGAATACAGTTTTGGACTAGTAATCCCACCATAACAATTCACTGCCACGTTTGTAACTAAAACTTATCTGACAAAAAAGTAAAAAAAAAAAAAGAGAAATAAAAGAGAGATGGATAGATATATATATATACACATACAGTCCCTGATAAAAGTCTTGTCGCTTATCCATTTTGTAGAAACAAAAGCTTATAACCTGACTTTAAATTAATCGATTGGTTTTAAAAATGTCTCATATGAAAGCTAAAACCCTCCCAAATTATGCTCAATATACTAAAATAAATTTGCTTCACTGAAGAAAGATTGATCATTTAATGAACACAGAAAGGTCAGATTTTGGCAAGACAAAAGTTTTGTCGCCTACAGAAAATTGAACAAATAATTTACTTCAAATACAAAAATATGTTGCATAACGTCAGTGAATTAAGTAGTGGTGCTGTGAGATCCATATTTAATATCTTGTATGACTTCCATGAGCTTGAAGGACTGCATCCATGCGGTTCAACAATGATTCATACAATTTGTAGTCATCAGGAACAGCAAAGAAAGCGTCTTACATGCCTCCCAGAGTTCATCAAGATTCTTTGGTTTTGCCTTCCATGCTTCCTCTTTCATTCTACCCCAGACATGCTCAATGATGTTCATGTCTGGTGACTGGGCTGGCCAGTCCTGGAGCACCTTGATCTTCTTCACCTTGAGAAACTTTGATGTAGAGATGGAAGTATGCGATGGAGCACCATCCTGCTGCAAAATTTGATGCCTTTTATGGTTGGGAATGTAAGAGGTAGCTAATACTTCTTGATATTTTAGGTTATTGATATTGCCTTCCACCCTGCAAATGTCTCGCACACTCCCATACTGGATGGAACCCCAGACCATGATTTTTCCGCCACCAAACTTAACTGTTTTCTGGGTGAATCTTGGATCCATGCAGGCTCCAGTAGGTCTCCTGCAATATTTGCAGTGGCTGTGATGTAATTCAACCGAGGATTCATCTGAGAAATCCACCTTCTGCCACTTTTCCAGTGTCCATCCTTTTAGCAGGCTGTGGGCCTTGGCAAATGCCACACGGTTTTTTAATTGCCTTTTGTTTAGTGCTGGTTTCTGTGCACTGATTCGACCATGGAGGCCATTTCGAGACAGAATTCTACAAACTGTTCTGGTTGACACAGGGACTTGAGGTGACCAGGCCTGGTGGAGCTCTGCTGCAGTGGAAAAGGGGCTGGCCTTGGATTTTCGAATCAACAAACGGTCCTCCCGAACAGTTGTCTTGCGGGGTCTGCCGGACCTGGGCTTGTCAAAAACATTTCCAGTCATTTCAGATCTTTTTCTTATTCTTTGAACTTGATGCTGAGACACATTGAAGGTGTCAGCCACCTCAGCAGTGGATCTGGTCTTCAGCCTCTTGATAATTAACGCTTTGGTCTCAGGGTGGATCTTAGGCATGTTGTCAGAGGTCAAGTTGCAGTTGATGTGAAGGTCTGGTGTGCTGGGGTTCTTTTTATACACACCCACTAACTGATTGATCAGTAACTGATCACAGGTGAGGCTGTAATCTAGGATTGGGTGCATCATATGACAAGGCCACAAGACTTTTGTCTTGCCAAAATCTGACCTTTCTGTGTTCATTAAATGATCAATCTTTCTTCAGTGAAGCAAATTTATTTTAGTATATTGAGCATAATTTGGGAGGGTTTTAGCTTTCATATGAGACATTTCTAAAACCAATCGATTAATTTAAAGTTAGGTTATAAGCTTTTGTTTCTACAAAATGGATAAGCGACAAGACTTTTATCAGGGACTGTATACAGAGATAGACAGAATAATGTTTTAGTTCCATAAACATGATCTAACTCTATCCCCATTCCCAGATAAGAGTAAATAACAATAACACCACATAACAATAATACGGTAATAATCAACACAAACATGTTTACCGTATTATTACAAAAACATTGGACACGATGACCAAATTGTTCATTTGGGTTGTCAGTTTGGTGAAATTCAGTTTGGTTAACTCTAAATAGACTCGGAATGTTCAGTGCAGCCTCTGAGCTTTAGCATGATCCATGTACTGAGAATAATATGTAAGTGTCCTCTATCTGCAGGTTAAGGCACTGGCAACTCATATTTAGTTCCCCTTTTTAAAATGGTAAGACTGCAGGCTCCATACAGTCCCTTAAATACCTTAGAGGATTTTGACAATGGAAAGCAAAGCAAAATGATGTAAATGCACCTACATTCTCCCAAAAATCCTTTGTTATGCAACCTCAGTGTAGAAGGTAACTGTTACAGTGACCTTCAAGTAAGTGGCTCCTGTTCAGCTCCTGAACTCTTTGTTTTCGTATTAAATAATTTATTAGAACTAAGAGCCGTTACCATAGTACTGTTCTGGAATCTCTAAGAGCATTTCCTGTAATTTCATGAATTAAAAGATGTAATTTTGTCCACAATCAACCTTGTAATTTCATGAATCAATGGATGTCATTTTGTCCCCAGTCAACCATTGTTATCACTGAATAATGTGAACATAATAATCAAGATTTTTAATGATTTAATTTTTGTATATGGAGATTTTTCCAAATAATACATTTGGTTCTGTTTCACAGTTAACAACCAATAACTGTGATTGTGAAATAAAATACAAGATGTTGAAATAGATATACTTTCTTTAGGCAGTTTTACATAGTGAAATAATTCAAGGCAAAATAATACACTCCTAAAGCATTATATTCATTGTTGTCTTTTGATTGTCACTTCTTCATCTTGAAGTTAATGTATTTACAATCTTACCTTTTTAAAGGAAAACAACATCAACAGACTGTGCCAACATTACATTCATTGTGTGTTCACAGGCCTAAAATTGATTTACAATTCATGTTGGGACTTTGTCTTAGAAATAAATAAAAGTACAGTAGTAGTTACATTCAATAGCTTTAAATTCAAAATATAAACATAGATTTGGGTAGTGCAGTGCTTTATTATAAATGGAACTATTGTTATGGCTTAAAATGTAGTCTCTCCAAACAATATATACAAATGTATCTAAAATGATAAACTTTTGGGTAAAACTTTTTTCCACATTAGTTTAATTAATTGAGTTGCACATCTACAGTTAACATATGAAACTGTTCAAAAAATGCCTTATCTTCTTGAAATTGGCATATCAAACATGAAGACATAAGCCATTTACAGTGGCACATACATTATATAACGATGATGCACTTTAAGGTAAATGTTACCCATAAAACATTCGCAATGGCTTCCACAATTTATCCTAAACTAGAAAAACACCAATCAAGCAGATGAAAATTGAACTGCATTTGAAAAGCACTAGCTTAAGTAATAGCACCAAACAAAAGCATTACAGTGTACACTATGACCGGGTGGTCTGACTATAGACTGAAATGCTACATCCATGTGATCAATTAAAATTATTTATAAAATAAAATAAAAATCATAAAAAGCAATATTCAAAAGATGCTTTACAAACTGTACATTACACTAAAACAAAAAGCTTTGCTTTGCATAAAAACAGACTTGTGTCCTGTACAATGTCCATATACAGTATAAAAGATTATTTTCACATATAATAAGTGGACTGGGGCATGCAACAGATAGCTTGTTATCTACATAAAGTATCATGTTAGATCTTGCTTCAAAGTCCCCTTTATGATTGTGTGTCATCATCACTCCCTCTTTTGGCAGCTGGTGGCAGTGAGTATAGGGATGTCTGTCTCTTTGGGGAGAATTCACTGAAATGTTGTCTAGAGATCTTGAGATACTCAAAGATCATGTTCATAGGTTCAGATATGGGACAGTGCATTAAACCCTCAGTTGTGCAGTGTCTTAGGGCAGACTGGGCTTTAGTGGTTAAGTATGACACAGTTGGGGTCCTCCTTCTCTCGGCGCTGGAACGCGTTATGAGCCTTTTCCAAATCTGTGATCACCGCCAACAGACGGACAGGGACACTTAGACCTGTTTTTGACTTCACGTTGCACTGTGCACCTTCTACAACACAGTCAAAAATAATTACATTAACAATTACACTATTACCATTAACTTCAACTTTACTACTATGTAGCTAACAAAGCTTCACCAAAATTAGTACCACACAATTCCACAATCACAATTAGCACTATTTAGAATAGACAATACAATATATTTAATGCTTTATTAGTCCATTCATCCTTCTATCCAAGACCGGGTCCACTTATCCGAGACCAGTTCACAGGGGCAGCGGTGTAAGGGACTTTCAGACTTCCCTCACCCTGGACACTTCCTCCAGCCACCTTGCAAAGGAAACTGACCCTGCTGTATATAAACAAATGAACAGAACCAGCAGAGTCCAACATGCGCTGGGAATAGGTCCGACTTACTGCCAGTGCCAGCTATGCTAGCACAGCTTCTGCTTCGGTCAAGCAGGATTGAACTTAGCAACATGGTAAAATGCTTTCTCCAGACCCGCAAAGCGCATGCGGACTGGGCAAGGGTTAATGGGCAAAATCCCATCCACCTGATGGAGAGTATAGAGATGGTCCAGTGTTCCGCAGCTGGGAAGAAAACCACACTGCTCCTCTTGAATTGGTACGACTACTGGTGTTTTCTTGATTAAACATTTTATTTATATTCTTTATAATGTGATTATAGAGTGTGAACTTGGGTCAGTGTTTAGTTTGGGTTACTTTATGATACATTTCAATATACATTTTGCCACCATTTGTCATTGTACATGATTATTTTTAGAGTTGCTGCCTCACCTGAGTTGATCTTCTTTTCTTTATTGCTTGTCTTCTGATCAGCTTCTGAAATCTCCAGATATTTCTTCCTACAGCATATGCAACAATAATCATAGTATTACCATACATTACATACTCTTTCATCTCTGCAATAAAAATGGCGAACAGTGACATCAGACTGTTGCAACATTGCCCTCTAGTGTTCAGACTGCAAACTGCTAGTGATTTTTTTGTTGTTTTTTTTTACACAGACCTGAGTTTGTCCTTGCCCTGGAGTAGCTGCTTGTAAATGGTTTGGGTTTCTACATCAGGGTCCAGAGGGTCACTCCAATCACCGAGGGTAACAGCAGAGTGAGTCCGACTGCAGCCTGTAACTGAAAAAATATATACAAAATCTCCCTTCAAAACCCTGCTTTACATAATTCAATTATATGTAATTTTACAGATTAAATACACTAGATTGTAATTAAATGTCACTCTCTTCAAGGATATAGTTAGCTAAAATAATGTCAGTTATCCATGTTCTTCTCACTAGTGCCAAGACAAATGACATAACTGTTTTGCTTCAAAGATGGTTATGTAAAAAGAATGTTTAATTTGAAGGTCAGTAAAATGTACCATTTCGGTCTGTTTGCAGACAGCACGTCCACTTGCCACTGCGATGAGCTCCCGGGTGGAAAGAGGGCAGCATCCGTTCATTATAGATACTGACTTTTCTGATTGCTGACAGCCACTGGTTTAACTCATTGACATTCTAAGGCAGGAAAATGCAATTAAACTCATATTATTCAAGGTATACAAATGCAATGCTATTTTGAGATTCTGGGTGTGTGTATATAGTAGCAACAGAGCTTATTTCATCTGATCATCTCCTTTCTGTTGTGCAGTGATTTTCATATTTAATCTCACATTTAGCTGGATGCTTTCCAGACATTCCTCTCTCTTATAAGTTATATATACCAAAGTTTGGAATAGACAAAGAGTATGCTTGTGGTACAAATTGATGCTGTTTTAAGAGTAATTGTTAACCACACAGTGCATAGTTGTTGTACATGTGTAGGTGTGCTGTGTGCTGTAAGTGCTGTTGACAGGCCAACCTTGCACTGGATGTATATTGTGTGCAGCTGTCCGTCGTTGTCCTGGGTGACGACCTGCATCACGTTTTGTTGCTGAAAGGCATTTTCATCCACTCTCTCCACGGCACAGACACACTGAATGGGAATTGAAGAGCGCACCTGCAACAATTCAGCCCACATAACAACTCCAATTAAGACAAGTGTACACAGTGGTAATCACGACTCATACTAACATATGTCAGGAGTGTAAATTGAATGTAACATGATTAGGAGGCTAATTAGCAGCCCTATATCGTGGTGAAATATTTTACATGCATAAGATTATAAGGAGCTATGAGACAAGAAGGGAGACCTAATGAGATCAACATAGCAGAAAAAGGCACTTTAAAGTGTAAATCAGCCACTTCCATTGGGAGCTTGTCTGACTAAGGCTACACTGCTCCAATATGGAAGAAAGGGGTCAGGACATTGTCTAAAATCTGATTTGCAATGTTAGCATGAATATCCACAGCCTTCAATTAACCCTTGTCCTTTATTCCAGTAACACAAAGCAGAAGGAAGGCTCAAAGACTAAGCTTTTTCCAGGCCCACAGATAGTGGTTGTCCCCTATCGCTCGGTTTGGTTAAGGCAGCACACAGTAATAACTAATGTGTCCACACAAGAAGATCAACGCAAATGCATAAAGCTGTGGATGACTAAAATGTCCCTCTTTATGAAACTGCTTGATAAGTGTCCTTCACAGGACAAGTCTGATTTATCAGTGGTGCATATCAGCTGCTAATAATGGGTGAGTCACTTTAGATTCAAAAGTTTATTTAACTATTTTTGGTTCAAAACCACAGGTCGTATAGGAAAGATTACTGTAAACACTATAGGTTCTTGCAGTTAAATATAAGACAGAGTAACACTTTGCAATGACTCACACTACAACACTTGCCTGATTCCTCTAAAAACTTGTCCAATAATATGCAACAGTTTTGGTTAATAAAGATGAGTAATAGAAATCTAATATTGTAAAAACATCATTCAGTGAGATATTAATATAATCATCCAAATATTGCTAATACATTACATAGTGTTTCCCTAATGGCTTTATACAAACCTGAAACTATTTCTGCTTATAAATAAAAGGGGTAGATTGCTCAGATGATTTTAACCAAGCATTTTTCTACCACATAATCTAGGTAACAGTACTCACTTGCCAGTCCGATGTCTTGGCATAGGAGAGAGTCTCGCTGGTCAACCAGAAATACCGTTTCTTAAAGGCAAACCTGGACAACAGCTGTGGTCCTTCAGTTTTATATTTCTGCAGGTAGCCCTCTTTGACTGTGACCGAGGGCATAAAAACAGCCCTCTGTGGGACCTCCGACACTGTGAAACATGCATACATGCACACAACAGGTGGTAATTATACTTTGACAATACCATGCCCTGACCATGGTCTATTTTCTAATAGTTTCTCATAAAGCACACAGTTAAAACTTTTTTTTTACAGAACTATCACAAAAGCACAAGGTGGTGCTGCTGTAGTGAAAGAAATATCACAATTTTCTTACATTACAATGGCAATGTTTAGGGCCATGCATTATCACGGAGAGAACCTGACATGACATAACAAGGGCCCTCTTATGTCTATCAAACCCCCCTGACCTGCACTAAATGTCAAACTGGCCTTTCAGGGTAAACAGTGGGTGTGAAACCTGATCTGCAGAAGGGGGTGGAAGGGGGGTGGGGGGGTGGAGGGTTAGTCCTCAACCACAACCTCTGACATAAGACGACAAGAAAGCAGCTAAGACATGTAGGCTAACCAGTGTAGCGTGTATGAGCACTTGCAGTTTCTCACCTCAACGCCCAGCCAGCTCATTAACCATGTCTTCTCTGTCTCAACTAGTTATGAATATTTCACACCAGGCAACAGCAGTATCTCTCTATCTACCACCTGTCTTGCTGCCGATAAGCTTATAGGGTGAGCCCTGAACCTTAGCAAGATATTTCACGTGGTTAGTGTGCTTACCTGTGTCATGGTCAATATCAATTAACTTGTCCAGAAAGTCTTTGACTGAAGCCACACTGTGGAGGATAATGGGGTGTAAGGGTACCATCCACTGCTCCTTCCCATGGCCTAGCTGAAGACCCAAGTTTCCAACACTTTGCAAAGCCTGCATGAGAAAAATGTATGGTTTTCTAATAGCAAGTCTTATTTTATAAAGGAATTATCTAAACAGTGGTTAGTTTAATAAGTCACAAAGAGGCAAAATCACAAATTAAGCAGAATAAGCAGTAGAAAGAAGACTGAATATATATCAATGTTTCTTTACATTCTTTTTTACATTTTGTCTCATGTATTCCCTTAAAAGTAACCCTGTTTATCAACTGTATATCATCTACAAAGCAGTGGACCTTTATGTACAGGCTTTTAGTGGTAAAGGAAAAATGAGCACCCAGAGGAAATCTACACAGGGAGGATATGCAAACCCTATACAGTTCCCTCCAGTCCCATATGGTCCAGGCATTCAACCTGGGACCTTTTATCTATTTTATTTATGATACATATATAGCAATCACATTGGAAGATCCAGGAGTATTGTTTCAGGTATTACAGAAAAAAAAATGTTTTGAATGTGTTTAGAAATAAAATATTTTAGAAAGGATAGAAAAAAAGTTGGACAATACAAGAAAACTGTTTATAATACAGCTGCTTAAAAGTAGGTGCCTCAAAACCAGAACTAAAGATCTATGGTACAGTCACCCTTCTCTTATGAAACCTTCATTATGAATAACAAGAATATTTCCCCTTAATGTAATCTGAGCTGATCATTCATTTTCCCTGAGCAGTGCCTGTCAGTGAATTACACACTATATATACCTAAAAGTACACAGTATATGTACCTAAAAGTGTGACATCAAATGGGTCCCTGGGGCCACTCCTGCTGCGTGGCTCTTTGTGGGGCCCACACCTGGCCCATGGAGGAGAGGAAGTCCCCTCACGACCACCTCTCTGAAGCTCCCCTTTGAACCAGGCTCAGGCCATAGCTCACAGGGTAAAAATAGCACCTTCCCCTTTCTCTGTTCAAGACCATGGCAACAGTGCTTCAGCACCATGGACAGCAACCACCAACACCAAGCTACTAAGGTCTAACTTTAGGTATAACTTACAAATAATACTGCTTGTAGGGATAATACTTAATTTAAAATATGGGTCTCATAGAATTCCTCAGTGACTGAAATGTATTAGTGCATAAGATCTTTTTTTTTACTTTTAGCATTCTGCTTTTCCAGTGCTTTTGAGTTTTTAGTACTATGACATATTTCATTGCTATTAGCTTTCATAAACAATCTCTAACATTGCATAAAACCAACCACTAAGTCTTCATTCAAAAAGAACGAGGTGAGAAGACAGACAGTAACTTAAGCTTTAGTCATGATAGCTAAAAAGCCTTTCTTGTCAGTGTAGAGAAAATGGGTTTTTAATGGCGTCACATTTCCTAGAAGCTTGACCTACTTTGCTTGAAATTGGATTTGTTTGAATGACTTGGCACTATACGGTATTGCAATACTTAGTTATAAATAACCCTAAATTTTTTTTCTCAACAAAGCAAATTCTGATAATTAAAAACTCCACAGCTAACTGCAATTGTGTGGACGTTCTTATCAAAAAATATATTTAAATACGGCAAACAGGATATTACTCTACCAACACTTTGATGCAAATGGTAAAAATATTGTTAATCTCACCATGGGACAGAATTCTCCTATTGATGTTTTGCTTTGTTTTTCTTCCATAAATAACCTTATAAGAGACAGAGTGACCTACCTGTGAATGCATCTCTATTGATTATGCTGCTTCCTGCAGTCATTTTGATTTACCTTCAAATTACTTTCACAGAAATAAATTGCAACCACCACCATTCGTATCAATATACTCAGAACTTTAAGCTGCTTTTGTTTTTTTCCTGCCCTTACTGTAAGTGTCATGTCTAGACACAGCTAAATTATTCATGCTGTGTTTATTTCTGGATAGATTTAAATGCATGTTTTGAGTGATACCTTGGCTAATAGTAACAGTGTTCGGCTTGTGCGGGTGTCAGCATGTTGGTCCCTCAGCTGAAACAGTTTCGGTGTCAGGATCGCAGGAGCAAAAAAACGAAGGAAGAAGAATCCACTGATGGCCAAATATTTCACATCCTAAAAATATTTAAACACAGAGGTTAACTGCACTATTGCACTGGATGGTGAAATTGGTAATAACAGTTACAAAAATATTTAAAGGCAGTGTACCACTTTAAAAGTAAATGTTTTGGGTTTGTACCAAAATCAGCAGTATCTGTGTCTATAAAACCTATTATAACCTTTTATTGGTTGTGAAACAAAGAGAAAAAATACATACATGTGTTCACTATATATAATGTAACTATATATAATGTTCTAAATGGGTTTGTGAGAGTTAGAAATAAATTTGAGTTGCAGGTAGGGAAAAAAAGTAAATCTTTAGGAGGACTGCAATAACAATATTAGGTCAATTCAACAGAAATGTGTTAAAACATGTCTTGAAAGAATTCAAGTTAAAGTATCAGACAAATGTAAAAGAACTGTGAAATTACCCACAAAAGTAAAGAATGGGTGCTTTATACTTCTCTGTTTGCTGCATTTGTATTATAAAAATAATATATTTAATATTTACATTTTCAAAACAGCATTCACGGTATCATCATTATTTCGATAATCTGCTCACCTTTAGTCACAGGTTTGAAAATTAGGCAACCTAATTTTAAAAGTGTGAGTTATTATAAAATACTCTTAAATGTAAGACATTTATTGTGTTTTTCATTATCCATTTAGCTCAAGAGCTATAGAAGCAGAACATTCAACATACAAGCCTAATGTAAAATCAATTGGCTGCTATAGGCTTTCTATCAGGAACATTCATCCACACTGACCTCGTTCTCAGGTTCAGTAAATTGCTCCTCGACCCTCTTGTGCAGTTGCTTGAAGGCCACTCTCATGACGGGCGGACACTGATCGACTGAGTTCACGATGGAGTCGATGATGCTGGTTAAATAAATCTGCAGCATCTCCACACTGCTGTCCCTCACCTCAGCCTCAGACATGCCACCCTTAAAGGATATTCGCCTTAAAAAGGAAGAACAAGTGATTTTTTTGACATTGTTAATTTATCTTGAAAATGTTTCTGTATTGTCTTTTACCCTTTTCTAAAACACACAATGGAAGAAAAGTTCATTGGCATTATGTTTTTATACTGGATGCTTTGAGGCTGGAAATGGCAGTATCTACAGAGGTGCATCAATCCAATGAACTGTCTAAAATATTTAATAATTATTGTGTTCCTCCAAACACAACCTGGTGTTTATCCTGTCTTAGAAATTATGCACAGACTGCACTGGCGAGCCCATCTGCCTGGATTATAATATGAGATTGCGTCCATGATTATAATCCATGACAATTTTTTGCGTTCTTAATTATACAAGCTGGCAGCTTCAGTTATTGATTTTGCCAATCCCTGGTGCATGCCAAGCACACCAGAGTGTACAGAGAAAGATAAATAGACTCTATGACGGCTGCAGTCATGGCTGATCCTGGATCTGCCCCTCCCGCTCTGATGGATATCTCTGGGGGTTCAGAGCAGTTGCCAGGCAACAGCCTTCTCTCTTTTTACTTTTTTTTTTTTTCAGTTTTCTTTTGCACCAATGTCTTCCTCTCAGGGGCAAAGTATAACAGGAAGCAGATTGTCTCCCGTGGCAGCTTTCCATTTGACCATTTTAACGCCTACGTCGTGAACTGCACGCACCAAATTCCCATGTGTAACATGTGTCACGCAGCACCAGGATCAAGAGTGGTTCAATGGTTTTATGTTTGAAAAGAGAAGCTGAAAATGCCGAGTATCTTTACCTAAGTCTGTTCAAGTCAATCTTGCATGGATCCAGTTCAATGTACTTCTTCTCATCAAAGATCCGGTTGATGATTGGCTTCAGGACTTCATGAAGATAGAGCATGCCAACAGCCTGACAACAAAAACATGCAGCAAAATTCTTTATCTGGCTGTATTTCTAATGTACTCATGAACCTATCCAATATATAAGACATTTTTACATTTTACACACCTTCATGAATTGTTCCATTGCTTTGGAGGCAAGAGAATTGGACCGAAATAATGTGTTAGGATCAGCTGTAAAACAGGTAAAATATAATTAATTATCAAAAAAATATAATTAATATTTTTAATTAACAGGTTACAAGGTGAATGAAAAAAGCATCTAGCTGAGCAATTATGTCTATCAAGCTGCTTTAATATCTTAAGTACCTTAAAGACTATTTCAATGAATCAGAAAGCAGATATGGCTACAGATTTGCTACTTGCCCAAAAAAGGAAGAGAACTCTAGATTATTTATGTACCGCCACTTCATTTTACTATTTTCTATCCCAACTCCTTCCCCACAGATGACTAGAAAACACTGCAAATAAAGCTTCAGATTTGCATGATTATTTTTACTTCACATGCAGTATCTCAATCACATCTAAAACGCTTTTATATTCATTTCTAGGGGAAATATGCCTGAGAAACATGAAAAAAGCTGCATCCATTTAGTTAGACTTGAGACGTCACCAGGCTCACCAAACTTGAGAATTTCTAAAATCTAATACCCAAATCTTTCTAAGGTTGTCACCATTCAGATGAAAACCACTTTGATCATTTACAACAGGTGGTCCTAAATACTGTATACAATGAAACTAAATAATGTGCCATCATTTTATAAAGCCATACACTGCATATTTTGTAGCTACACAATGTTATAATTAGCTTGTCTGACTCAGAAATGTTGTCAAACTGGGGGACACACCAAGCTCTGTGCTGCATTACATAAATTCTTCATGGTGACAATGCTGATATAGCCATGGCAACAAGACTTAATTTTCAGCACATTTTTTCTGTAAGGTTGTGTATATGGGTGGGCGGTGTAAAGTATTTCCTGTATCGTTCTGTTTGACAATCTTCTACAATCAATTAGGCAGTCATTAATGTTGCCTTGAAATAGAAAAGTCAGACTTCATATACAATTGAGGAAGACTGACATATTTTCAAAAAATACCACTGTGGAATATCAATAAAATATAAATATAGCTACAAAATATTATAGATTCTATATGGAAACTCACACTCAATCAGCTACATGTAAGACTGGTTCAGATTTATGTTTTCCCAATTGAATAGTGGGGGAGTCAAGTAAGTAAGAGCTTATACCTACTAACTAATAGGGAAATAACCTACCACTTGTATTGAAAACTATGAGTCAATACCTCCAAAGTATCTATTCCTTAATCAAGCACAGTTTGAATAGTGAGTCGTTGCTATAGAAACACTCTGCTTATTATCCGAAAGTAACTGAGAAAACGACAGAGCAAAACTGAGTGTGAATTACAACATGGGGACGTGTTGTGGAGGCTTCACATGACTAACACACAAACCACAGAGAACAAACGCACTGTTGTGGTGAGTAAGTGATTGTCATTAGGGCCATAAATACAGCACTGGTAGGTTTTTATGCCCACGCAAAACATGAGTAGCCGCATCCTTTAACGGGTCAGTGCAGAAGGGAAAATACATTATGTCCAACTCACTGACAAACTAAGATTTTGTTTTGAATGTTTACATTCATGCATTTAAGAACTAAAATTTACATTGGTCTGAATAGTGCTACATTGGTAAAAATGTAATTTTAATATCATACAACAACTGACATTCATTCATTTGGGTATTAATAACTTACATTTATGTAGCACTTTACTTTACAACAATTTACTAGACCACACCATCTCCAATCACTCACACACCACATGCACAGGTGAGGTGAGCAGAGTGTCTTGCTCAAGGACCCAAAAACAACAGTATTCACTGGTAGGAGCTGAGATTGAACTGCCAACATTCAGGTTGATGGGTGAATGCTTAGACCACAGAGTAACTACAGCTCCTGATGTCACATGAACTCTAAAAAGTGAGATTTAAATACATGGTGATTATTTTGTTTATGGAAAGACATCATAAATCCATCAGTCTATGTTTATTAGGAAAAAGCTATCAATATTAAATAAGATAATAAGTGCTTAGGGCTAGACTTTTTCAAGTGTGCAGTAGTAAGTAAACATACTGTAATAAAATCTTGTCAAAATGTACTCAAATCAAGACAAATTATTAGAGAGGCGCATCCCAATGGCATCAATAGCATTTTGCAGTGTATACATTGGACTAAAAATAGAAATGCACAAGCTCTTCATTGTGTTACTCATTAAAGATCTGAGCTCACTTGTGTGGTTGACCTCGCGGGTGTTGAGGTAATCCAAGAATGGCACCACGAGGCCTTGGCCCAGGTAAATCTTCACCAGCGTCATGGCCACATCCTGACGGCTCTCTACTGTGGTCACTTCCTCCAGCATGGTGAGAGCACTAGTCTCCTCCACCTGATAACAGAATAACCAGCTCAATTACAAACTACAACACACACAAGGATACATTACAAATTCAGTCATAAGTAACTGAGAAAACCACACAGTATTACACATAATACCAGGACGTACGTCTGTAGGAGAGATGACTGACTCAACCAAAAGGTCAATAAGAGGTGTATAATACACTGAGGGCAAAATACGGTCCTCCACCAAACGCACTTTGAGACGCAGCGCCCCGAGTTTACCACTGGGTACAACATAAAATGAATCAAACACAAAATAGGTTATTTTAAAATTTGAATGCAATGAGTACAAATTTAGATAAGGACAAGAACCTGCACTTGTCAAACCAAACTCAAAATACAGTTAAAAACAATACTTCTAGCTGCCTCAGCTCAGCTCAAAACAATTTAAATGCATTATAAGAAGGACATCACTCACTGAATGGTTTAAAATAACACACTAATTGCTGCTTCAGGTTCTCAGTCTGGAACTACTCAGACAAACAATCCACAGTACAACTCATAAACAGGAACACACATTCTCACCCAGCATCAACCTCATTGTTTCCCAGGGGCAGCAAACGAAACCAGCCCTCCAGATGAGGCGACTTGTGCAAACACGGCGAGGGGATTTCCACCTGTCAATAGAGAATTAGCAATGTGGAATATTGATTGGTCACAGATATACAATAATACAATAAAAACAACAATGAGCCTGTACAAAAACTATTTTAGTTGTTATAATTGATAGCTTACTTTCCCCAAAAAGTCATTCTTGCCAACCATGTCCCAGTCCCACACTTCCACAGTGATAGGCCCCTCTTCACACAACTCCTCTGGGTCAAGCTCCAGCTCCAGAGTTTCCCCCCAGTGAGGAAACCGCGTCTTTTTAATAATCTGAATCCAAAATACGTTGCACAAATAAATCCTCTTTGTGCCATATGTCATACAATATTTTCTCCTCTAGTAGTGAATGACATCAGAAGGACAAGACGCTGTGACCTTAGCACAGAAAGAACATGGTGTACACGGACAAAGCTTACCGAGGTCTCTGCGCTGTGGTTATTAAAGATGACTCTTGCAAAAGGATCAGAGGTGCCAGAGGTGTCTCTAGGGGCAAGATCTCTAAAAAACAAAACAATGAATGCAAAACAAAATTTTATAGTGTTACATGTTTCCCGCAAAAAAGGAAGATTTGAATGGCTGTGCTTTAGAATTATTTAAAGTTTAAAGTCATTCAGCTAAACATAACCTTGTGCTGAAATCCTGATTGGCATGTTCATTAGCAAGATGTCAGAAAGACGGATCTTGCAGCCCGGGACACACAGATGGGGCATTGACTAAATGGTGTGATAGCAGCAGAATGACTCTGAGAGGAGCGAAGAGGCCTGAGGCATCATTGATAAGGCGCATCTACACAACAGTTAAAACAATACCAGGACAAACTAACCCTACATACTGTGTGCACTATGTACTAAGTAAACAAGTTAACTTTAAAGCACCAACATTTACACAAAAAAATAATGACGTTTGTTTGTATGGAACAGCGTTACCTCCTCTGCTTGTATTACCTGGCTTCAATGACTTGACATCTCAGGCTGATCTTCTCTGAGTGTTTGAGCAGGACCAGACTAAGGCGGATCTCCCCTTGAACTTCTTCATTTGGGTCAACCCTTGTCAAGTTCAGCCAGCTGTCCAAACCTTAACAAACAGTATTATCAATTGCTATTTTTATGTATTTTCTGTATATGTATAATTTTAAGAGAAGTTATTTTATCAATTCAAAACATAGGGATCGCTACAGTGTGACAGCTAGACTCTAGCTAGCTTTTCTTGAGAAGGAGGAACTGACTCAGTAGCGACATGTAGCAATGAATCATAGTTTTGAAGGCCATGCCAGCCAGGTGGTGTTTAAGAGTGGCATCAACAAGCAAAGGCACAAAGATAAAGATAGACATTGCTTAAGAAGTATGGTAGCTACATGCTAAAAAACTATAGCAGTAAGATCTCTGATAGGTTGGGGGGAATATCACAGATTAAGTCTTTACCGAGACACCTGTTTGTGGGTGGATTATATTAAGGAGCAGGGAGTGTTATGCTCTCAGGAGATTTGCTACATGTAGGAGAAAAGCGTGATTGCTATATGAACATGCACAACATTTCCAAAAGGCAGCTTCTAGTTTATTTCTTATGTACAGTGTTTGCATGTAGCCTGATAAATATCTACATAGAATTATAATTATAATGCACAATACTGAAGTAAAACATTTTTAGTGTAAGTTACACTGCAGACATTCCCATAAACTGTGAAACAGGCTGGCTCCTCGGTGGCTCTGGCTTTTTCACTGTGTTGTTATAGGAGTCTGTGCATGTTTACCCTCAAAGCAACAGCCATGCACTCCAGACATTATTAATGACTATGCATGCCCCTTCCCATATCTACCTTTAGCTTGAGATCCAATAGCTTCCTTGGTCAAAGTAATCTTGCCAATCACATCATCATGGCTGCAGTGAAAAAAGAAAATTGATTTACAAATTGACAGAAAGGTTTGTTCTAGTTAATTGATTTAATTTAATTCCAAATACATTCATTACAAGGAAAAGCACAAACTAATCACTCCTGTGAGCTACCATCTGTCCAATACTGTTGACATATTCAAATATTTGAGTCTTTCCATGACTTAATGTGAGCCTTTAACCCAATACATTCATTAATCAGCCCAGAAATAGCTTGGAAAACTGCATCTTAATCATCTCCAGTATCCCAGGACTTGAATGTAAAAATGAATTTAGGGACAGATGTCAATGTTACCCAATCGTGTCTTCATCCATGACATGAAAAGACAGCGAGTGAAATCCCATCGGGAGGTGCAGCGTGTACTCCTCACCCCAGAAAGGATTAAGGTTCTTCCACACAGTGGCTGTCCTAGAACAGGTAGACAACTCACATTACACAGCATGTGTCTACATAATACTGCCTCTAGGCAGATTTTACTAAGCCAAATAAATTTGATTAATTTTCATTTTTTGGAGAACTAAGTGTAAATATGAGACACTAGAAAACCCTTTGAACTTTTCTTTATGTTAAGGTTACCAAAGAACTTATAGCCAGAGTGATGCCACATTAATGCGAAGCAAAAAAAAACAGTCAAAAGGAGCACTAACTATATTTGCACTATAAACTGTTTTGTTTGTTGCCTCATTAGAAACTATACCTTTAGTAAAATTCACAGCCTGATCCATTGCTCCTGTTTACTTTTCCAGATATGGGTTGCACAAACAATAGCCCCTTAATTATAACTGTTACCTGTCCTTAAACTAAACACAACTAAACTTTACAAAATGTCTTTGCATCTTGCAAACTTTGTTCACAAAAGTTTTACTTAGTAACAGTTAACAACTTTATGCCAGCGGAAAGTCAAGACCAAACTGACTGAGGGTGCCTATTTAAGATTCAAAGACAATACTCCATAAAGATGAACATTTTTAAATAGATGGGGCCTGCCTTTTGCAGTGACTTAAGTAGTTAGATGGCTCAAAGCATACTGTGTCCATGGTCTTAACTAATAATCACTGTTTTAGTGAGTGGGCCAAGCTATTTCCCACTTGTATTCGCTGTCACATTATCTGTGAACATCATACAGTCATTTAGGCAGAAACTCCACAAGTACTAGATAATTAGTGAGAGTGTCACAGTGACTCATTGTGCTGTGTCCTGCACTATACCAGATGGATCAGGAGCTACTGTACTCGCCTCCTGTTCTTGTTAATGGTCACAACTTTTAAGCATTGGTAATACATATGATTATGAAAGAGAAAGGAGGGGTCAATATAGAAACAAAAAATATAAATATAAAATATGTACATCTAGTCCCTCTGAGAGGTTCCTGTTTATTACAAACCTGAAATGGGCTAATTCATGCATCCTCTCCATGGTTACCTGTGGTTGTTTTTGAGCCAAACCAGTATCAGGTTTTGTGTGTTGGAGGAGCCATGCTGTTGGCACCACTATCATAACCAAACACTACAACTCCACCTTGTTTAAATATATTCATCTCTAAATTACAGCCTGATACGTGGATCTCCAGTACATACATAAAACTACATACTACCACAACGGTGAAAGACACTCACCTGGCCACAACTTCATTGTCAACTTTAACAATGCAGTAAGGGTCACTTGTTCCAGACCTGGTTATCAAAACATATTACACAAAAGAGACAAAGAGAGGTTTGTGATTATCATTATACTGTCTAAGATTTAAATGCATGCTCGCATTCATGCTTGTTGATTAGTCTTAATTAAAGAGATAAATGCAATCTAATTTCTCACCTATCCAGAAATGCCAGGGGTGCAAATGTTACTTACACGTCTTTGGCTGGGAGATTCCTGCCCTCTACAATCCGAAAATAAAGAGAAGTATTTCTAGCCATTTTGGAGGTTTAGTAGATCAAGCGATATCTCCTGTTTCCATGTGCGTCCTTCTAAATAGCGCTCTTCTCTTCAGAAGCTGAGTTTTCTTCATTTCATAGTGTCGGCGCACAGCCCACAGTAGCGCGCCAAAGAGACGCGCACGGAGTCACTCAGTCAGTCCAGAAGGTTACACAGCGAGGCAACTGTGTGGGCAACTGGATTTGATGTGGCGATGTCACGGTGACCCCCAGCAGCCCCTCCTTAAGCCTAAAGACAGGTCAATAAAACACTCAACAATTTTGCCTAATTCTGTATGAAAAGTCACTCGCAAATGAAGCCGCTGTACCTTCCCCATTCACAAAAGAACCGCCAAATGCGACGACGCCTTTTCACAGCACGATGTATGTTTTGTAAATGCCTGCTCTTGGTGTTGTGCGTGTGTGGTCATACCTGATGAGCTTTAGGTTCTTTAAATGTGACACACTTCGCCACCTGGCGGCAATAAGTGCTACTGCTGTCTCGACATGAAGAAAAGACAGGCATTGTACAAGACAGCTAAAGGGTCCTCGTGGTTTTAAAGCAAGCCAGAAAAGGCTTCCTGCAGTTTCTCTTCTAGTCGCACACATTTGATTTCAAGGCAGTTATATGTATTTAATGTAAGCACCTTTTGTTATCGAATAATTACACTGACGGTTTTTTTTTGTTCCTGAATTACACAATTTGTCCACAATTAGCTGGTCTAGCTGATAGCAACTAGGTACAGATCTGATCCATGATGTAAACAAATGATCTACAATTAGCAACCAAATATGATGGACGCTTATCCTGGAGTATCTGGCAGTGATACTACAAAACAGCAAGAGAGGCACTATTACCTCCTGTCTGAACTGCAAACGTTAGTCAAAGATCTACCCAGGTATTCTTTCTTAAATAAATCACATTTTAGTATTATTCTTATAAGTATTATATACCATTTTTCTTTTCTTGTTCAGTTCCTTCCAACAGCGTTTGTCCTACAACACCCTCAGTGACCTGGCCTTGGCTCTGATCGATGGGACTGTGTATGAAATAGTGCAGGGACTCTTGGATATTCAACATTTGACAGAGAAAAATCTCTACAACCAAAGGCAGAAGCTACACTGTGAACACCAAGGTAATGTTTAATTATGATAACCACATGTGCAATTGTTTTATTAAAACATGAATTATCTAAATGCCTGTTGGCTTTGTGTAGCACTTAAACAAGAGCTTGTAAGGAAGCACAAAGATGCTCTGCAGACATGCAAGTCACACAACCTGGCTCTTCTAAAGTCTAACCAGCAAGCAGAGCTAGAGGTCAGCTGTGCTGAATCTATATCTATGAAAATATTTAAACATTTGATAAACTGTAATTCTCTTTTAGGCTTTGGAAGTTCGTGTTCGAGAAGAACAAAGGATGATGGATAAAAAGATTGTAGCAGAAATGGATCAAAAAGTAGTAGACCAACAAAACACTCTTGAGAAGGCTGGAGTGCCTGGGTTTTATGTCACTGTTAATCCTCAGGTAAACATTGCTTTGTTTACTGAATTTTCTACAGTCATTTGTTGGGTGGATTATTGGCATGCCAGTACTATCTAGTTATCTCATCCTGTAGTAGTAATATCAGCTGTCCAGCAGATGGCGATGCTCTCTACTTAAATTAATTGAAGATCTCTTGTTTTCTAGGAGCTGACAATGCAGATGAATCTTCTTGAGCTTATCCTGAAACTTCAACAAAAGGAGTCTCAATCAGGAATAATTTGAGTCCATCATAAATGTGGCAATTTGGCAAAACTCTGTCCAAAGTTTTGATTGACATTAGTGACCTATAAAGAATTTGACAGGTGGTGGTACGTGGTGCATATGCATACAGGGCATCTAGAAAGAAATGATAAAATTAAACGTAACTTTCACAAGTTAACATGCCTCGAATGTGACTGTAACACGCACGACAGATACAGGTGCTGAAAATGACTTACGATGTATTGGCGTAGCTTAGAGGTAAAGACAATGAATATTCTTATTTTCCTCACCAATAACCTGAGTTCGAGACCCACGCACTCTCTCCTCATATTTTTATAGCCTGTTTATCGTAGTCATTGACGGACACCAATTTATGGTCGTATATACAATTGCAACCATTGTTTTACTTTATTCTGAAGCCATGTATTAATCGCAGTCATGTTAGACAAGTTTGACTGGAGTCGGCATTGTTCTCGTCGAATCTGCAAATGAAGCGGTACGTCAAATACAACTGATAGAACATTTTGGCATGCATGTGCCTGATGTGGCCTGAGGGTGGCGCAAATATGTAAACACCAGTGTAAACAAATCACATATTGACGTGATCCCACGAAGAACCGGAACACCGGTCCTTTCTCCTACAGTCACCTCCGAGCCCGTCCCAACAGTGAGTCCTGTTTCATTTCTGGTTTAGTCCTGGTTTACTCCTGTTTTAGTCTTAGTTCAGTCTTGGATTAGTCCTCCTCTTCAGTCCTGGAATCAGGTTAGTCCTGGGTTAGTCCTGGTTCAGTCCGTTGCATAGGCAGCGCAAAAGTTTGATATAATCTCGGGTTAATGGGCGGGTGCGGTGGCGTAGGCCTACTGCGGGGTGCTGGTCTCCAAAAATGGACCCATGCAGGACTCTGCGCTGTAGGCTCCATTACTGGATAAATTAATCTTCGGTTCGTTACATAAAGAAGGTGGAAAATAACAAAAGGACCACAGCAATAAGCTTTAAAAAGTCTGAGAAAAGTGTATAAAGTAAGTCGTGGGGGCTTTTACAGCCTTAAAACAGATCTGATAATTGTAAAATAAAAGTTGACTAAAAGTTGACGGATTTCACCTATCGTGGGTTATTTTTTAGAACGTAACCCCGCGATAAACAAAGGACCACTGTACTCTCACCTCGCAACCTGTGCACATGGCCTCCGATTTATCCAGACCGGGACAGAAAATTGTTAAATGCGCATTTGCGCTTTGGCATGTTGCAGGCTGTACGACTTTGTGGTTGCTGGCTCCTTCTGAGTGCACAGAACTACGAGAGCCGCTCAATTCAATGGCCCCAATGAACGGTAATGAAAACCCGGACATTTCCTTCACTTAAAAAAACAAAAAACTGGAAGCCCAGGACAGGACGCAAAACACGGACATTTGGTTACCCTAGTTTCAACACAACAGTTTAAATTTTTTGTCTTTTTTAGTTCCCTAGTCACAACTTGCCTAACATTAACCTAAAGTCTAAACTTAACCTATTTTAACCCAACCTGAACATTAAACCATGTAGCTGATCTGATTTACGTCATGATTTTTGTTCCCGTAAGAGAAGCGTCCCCCATGTGCGCGTGTGTACAGATTTTAGATACCACACTGAGAAATACGTGCTCACTTACGCCTATACATATACACACTACTGGTCTATTGAGCTAGGGGGTGGGTCGGGGGCTAAATTATAATGGCCAAAAATTTAGCCCTGCCTCCTCCTTTGGTCTGAGGGTGGGGCTGGGAAAAGCCGTGGTTGAGGCCGATGTTCCTTTAAGAGCCTGTGGATCAGGCTCTGCATGTTGTTCTCCTCGGTGCACCTTTCAATCCATCACCAGCCGCTCCTCGCTCACTGCAAAATCGGTAAGTTTATAACGTGTGTATTTTTCTACTACCTCCCGTGACTGCTTTTGTCCATGCACGTGTGTGTTTCTAGATGTCTATAATGGTGTTCGAAATAACCTCACCTGCTTATTCTGTGATGTGGCTCTGCGTCTCGACTTGGCTCTACAATGAGCGTCCATTTGTGTCCATTTTGTTAGGAAACATTAATATAATGCTTAAATTATATTTTAAAATGCTAAATGTAGCATACGACTGTGACAAGTGTAGAAATCTTACAATTTGCTGTTTTGTGCGACAGCTGTTTTAATGCTAGTGCGGAATAAAGCGTTACGTAATGACGGCAGGCGCTCTTGCTCTCGCCGTATGCCACTGAGGGCAGGATGCTGCGCCCTAAGGGTCCAGCCTCAGCACTACCGGTTAATGTAATCAGTAAGCGAAGCGTGTTATTTCATTGTTCAAATCGAAGCGTACGTGAACAGATAGGCACTATTGTGATGCTGGCGCGTATGTCCATGTTTTGGCCTATTAGAAACTACAAATAACACCTGTGTATCTGTGGTCTGGATGCGAAAAAGTTAATAGGCCGTGCCCTGGACTATTCGTTTTTTACTGTTATTTACTCGTAAAGATGTCAATATTATTCACTGCCTGGCCAGCCAAGTCTGTCATTATTAGTAGGCCTAGGAGGATAGTAGTCGTAGTCTTCTTTTACTAGGCAACTTTATGATGATGTAAACAAAAAGTAAGATATCCTGCTTCCCAGTGTGGACTATTGACAGACATTCCTTCTACATTCTTTTCTTTGAAAACATTTGTGAAACCATCTAAAGCTAATCTAACACCTTGCCTTTTTCTATTACAGAACACCTTCATTCTAACTTGATGAATCTGCTTTGAGTGGTACCAAATCATTCCACCCTTTAAACCCCTCTAAACCCTGTCACCATGGCGTCCTGTCAGAGAGGCTGTGCTCCAGCTGTGCGCCTCTGTCAGAAACTGAACCGTCTCAAGACTTTAGAGGATGATATGATGGCCACCTCCCTGAAGCGCTGTCTCAACACCCTGGACTTAACTCTTATGGGAATTGGTGGCATGGTTGGCTCTGGTCTCTATGTTCTGACTGGCACAGTGGCCAGAAACATGGTTGGACCTGCTGTCATTTTGTCATTTGTATTTGCAGGATTTGCTTCTCTCCTGTCTGCACTATGCTATGCTGAGTTTGGAGCGCGCATACCAAAGACAGGTTCCGCTTATATGTTCACCTATGTGTCTGTTGGAGAGGTCTGGGCTTTTCTCATTGGTTGGAATGTCATTTTGGAAAATATGATTGGTGGAGCAGCTACGGCCCGCGCATGGAGTGGTTATCTGGACTCCGTCTTTAACCATGCTATCCAAAACTATACAGAGTCACACATTATGTCCTGGAATGTCCCGTTTGTAGCCCATTACCCTGACTTACTAGCAGCAGGAATTCTTCTTGTAGCATCTTTGTTTATTTCATTTGGAGTCCAAGTGTCATCATACCTCAACCACATCTTCTCAATCATAAGCATGAGTGTCACTGTTTTTGTTTTGATTTTTGGCTTCATCCTTGCTGAGCCTGCAAACTGGAGTCAAAAAGAAGGAGGTTTTGCACCGTTTGGACTCTCAGGGATACTGTCAGGTTCAGCTACTTGTTTCTATGCATTTGTGGGCTTTGATGTAATTGCATCGTCCAGTGAGGAGGCCAAGAACCCTCAGAAGGCTGTACCAATCGCCACTGCTGTGTCTCTGGGACTAGCAGCAGTGGCTTACATCCTGGTTTCCACAGTGCTTACATTAATTGTGCCCTGGCATACTCTGGACCCAGATTCAGCTTTGTCAGATGCCTTCTTCCGTCGTGGTTACAGTTGGGCTGGGATCATTGTGGTTGTGGGCTCTATTTGTGGTAAGTGTTGTTTCTGTGTGTAACAACAACTCATCCAAAGTTATCTCCATGGACTCCTTATCACAATATGATTGATCATATTGACTCTACTGAGTAGAGTATAGTGCTAATGTAAATTGAACTAACTTTATGATTTAAGGTATTCAGAGTAAGAAAAAGCACTTGTTTATTTCATATGGTTTATGGCTACCATTTTGTAGGGGAAATGTCGATGTATATTGATTTCACAGTATCTCTTATTCTGCTCTCATGTATCTTTGTTTGTATATAAGGTTAGTTTTGGAATGTGCAGCTCGTTACCTTTAGCAGGGGTTTTCTTCTATATCATTCTCACTCTCACTTGTCAGTTATGAATGCATGTGGCTAATACTCATTCATAATATTCATTAGTAATTTATCGATATAGTGGCCAACCTCACACACACTGTTAAAAATGTATTTCAGTGTAATAACAATGTAGATGATAGTTCTAGAATGTGATGATGCCTTAGTCTCTGGTGTGAGCAAAGTGCAAGTGATTTTTAAAAATATTTTATTTCTATTATGAACATTATTGTTCATATTATTATTATCTCACTATATTTATCCAATCACAAATATACATAGCCATACTAAAGCATTATTATAACAAAAAGTAAGTAATACAAAATTATTTTTGTGTATGCCACCACATCAACACTACACTGGCCTATAGTTGGTAACCAGTTATGATACATGAATATAATGATCCAAATGGGGATGTTGTCTATGACGTAGTGTTGCAAATGACAGAATAAACTTCTGTTACTACATAATGTAATGTTTTTTCTTGTTCTTTTTCTATTTCCAGCTATGAACACTGTGCTGCTGTGTAATCTCTACTCCCTCCCGCGAATCATCTATGCCATGGCTGAAGATGGCTTATTCTTTTCCTTTTTTGCACGAGTGAATCCTGTCACCAAAGTTCCTGTCAATGCCATTTTGGTTTTTGGTTTTGTTACGTCTATTATTGCTCTAATATTTGACCTGCAGGCCTTAGTTCAGTTCCTATCCATTGGCACACTCTTGGCTTATACTTTTGTGGCCGCAAGTGTTATTGTGCTACGCTTCCAGCCAGAAAAAGCAACAGTGAAAAATGGCACATCTCCTAATGTAAACGCCGAGCCCTCTCCAACACGTTCAGAGTCCCAGAGTTTCAAAGAGGACAGTGGTGAACTAAAGCAGTATGAATCCTTCTCAGACAAACTCCAGTTGGTGGAAAGGACCAAGGTGAAGGAGAGGCGTGCAACAGGGCAGCTCAAGGCATGTTGGGAACCATATCTCGGGCGTTTGGTTGGGGATTTTGAACCCGGTGAAGTGGTGGCCTTCTGTGTGCTTATCCTCCTGGTTAGCGGTGTGTCCCTGTGTGCTGTGCTGATATTCGGAAACCAACCACTTGAATTACCGCTGTGGAGCTTCTCAATGCTGATTGTGATTTTTAGTTTGGCTTTTGTCGTCAGCTTGGCTCTTATATGGGTTCACGAGCCACAGAAAGACACCAAAACATTCCAGGTAAGCTAAATGTACAGTTTACTGATAATTACAATAAAGACAAAACACTTGGAACACTAATAAAAGTACCTAGCACATCCCTTGCATGGTTCCATGCATACAGAAAAATTATAGCCAAAGAAACAACAGTTGCATACTGGGGCTTTCAGTGATATGTTAATATCTAGAATTTGGATGACTGTGACTTACCATAGAGTCCCACCATTCCAATAACTGGGAGGATGGTTCACCTCTTTCCCGCCAGTGTTTATCTATACAAGTGTATGCAAATGGTAATGGGAATAAACTAAGAAGAATAGTGTGTAACATGCATCTCTCATGCTTTGAGTTCACTCTTCCAAACCACAAAAAGAAAAAACAAGAAGAAAATTCATCTTGAGAAATTGAATGTTTGAGACAATCTTTAATAAGGATGATTGATGAAGGTTGGCCATGTGGTCTGAACCAACAGATATAGGAAGTATAAATGTATACCTCATCAGTACTTTTTTTCTTACTAAATGTGACTGAATCCTTGGTTTTTGCATAGGTACCTCTTGTTCCACTGACTCCAGGGGCCAGTATCCTTGTCAATGTTTTCCTAATGATGAAGTTAAGTGTAATGACATGGATCAGATTTGCTGTCTGGATCGCTATAGGTAAGAATACTCACCCTACAGTTTTTTGTTATTAAAAAGTTATCTGTAAATTGTCAATCAGTCAACAGAGAGCTATCCATGTCCATCAACAAACTGTTCCACTACTAAATTTGCACTGACCCATCTTAATCTGTCCCATAAAGAGACAGAAACAAGCAAGCCATCACTAGTGGAAGAAGCATGTGCCATTCACTTTGACATTTTTCCCCCAGATCAAATGTATAGATGCGTTTGTGTTTGCATATCTAAAGTAATATAAAATGTGTTATTTTAGTATATAGTTTAGGCTTTCTGCAGGGCATATACTTTATACTTAAAAAAGCATGTGCACCATTTCTTTTCATGAAATAATAGAAGTGTTTGATATTTAAGTCATTTTTTTTTTTAAATGTGTTCCTCAAAAAGTATATTATTGTTTTATTTGCTTTATATTGGTGAATGAATGAGAGTACTTTCCTCTTAGGGAAACACTTCACTCAATATTTGTATGGTGTGGTCACTAAGGGGATCACCGTGGAAACAGATTATGTGCATTAGCTTGGGGCTTTTCTCCATCACTAAACCATTTAAACACAACTGTCAGCCCTTAGCAGGTTAACAGGATACACATTACACTTGACAGCACATTAAGGCCTGCCTCAGGTCTCGTTTTCCCTTGGGAAAATGGAGGCTGCTAAAGGTTTTGTGTTCTTGTAGTACCGGTATATAACAGAAATGGCACCAGTAAATGTAATATAGACACATCTAACACATGCATTTACTTCGCAAATGACACACTAGACATATTAGAAACATGTTGGAATGATGACCTAGTCAATTCCACATAAATTCCTCTTTAATGTATTTCTGTGAATGAAACTGTTCCTATAGTTGATTTACTTGATTATGTTTGTGTTTCTAGGTGTTGTGGTGTACTTTGGCTATGGGATCTGGCACAGTAAAGAGGGGAGGCGGGAGCTCCAGGCCACAGACATGGCAGCACGTTATGTGGTGCTCCCCAGTGGCAGTTTAGTGGAAACAGTTCAGTCAGTGCAGCCTGATGGACAGGTGGAGCCCTCAGCACCCCACGTTAACACAGCAAGCGAGTTTGGAGAGAAAAGATGATTTGTGTGCACACTTATGATAAAAACACTGCCTGGTGTAATTGGGCAACTCCTATTCCTTGGCATTATAACTAAAGGTGGGTAGAATAGTCAAAGTGCAGTACTTCAGTACATGTAAAATGTGTTTTGGTGAGAAAATCTAATTAGAAAGTCCCTAAGACTTTTTTAGTAGTTTACTGTTTCGTAAGAAACATATGTAATATATTGGCAAAATATTTATATTTCTTAAAACAATACAAAATACGAAAAATTGTTACATCTTAATCAAACAAAATAACATTCAAAAAGTGTAATTTCTACATAAACAAAATGTTCAAAGCATTGAAATAAAACAGTGTCTCTCATAAAAAATAAAAAATAAAAAAAAGACACATCTCTTCACCCACCTCTGGTTTTAACTGCCCAGCCTCTCCCTTTAGTGTGAAGTCTGCCACAGTTTGTACACGTTGCTTTAGGTTTGTGTCAGCACAACAGGATGAGATGCTCGCTCTGTGTCAATGTGATTTCTGTAAAACGTGTAATACTCGAATGTACAGTAGAGCTTTATTAACTGCCCTGTAAAACCCAGCATCACAAATGTCTTCTGACCAAGACCCATTTTCTTTTGCTTATTCTGTTTTATACTATTGTTTTACTTGTAAATACATTTGGTACATCCAAGCACCAAAACAAATATACTAAAATCACAGTGAAATATTTATTTTATTCTTATTTAGCCTACAGTTATCATAATCACTAGGGTATTGTTTCAATGCACATTTTGTAGTCACACAGGAATCATGTGTGCAAGTTTACATTTATCTTTTTTTCCAATCAAAAGTTTTTTCACATTGTATCTCACATACATACATACATACGTAGAAATACCAGTATTTAATAAAACAATTTAGATATTTTATTACCTTTGTCAATGTAATATAACCACTTGCCTCCATCAGATATGCCTTACAGGCAAAAATATGCTGCACAGACTTCTCTATTTTCATTTCAAACTGTCTGTATATTAGTTTCATTTTTGTACAAAGTCATAATATTTAATAGCCACATTAATGGTCACATTGTTAAATCCGTTGACATAACTGGTTTAAATGTTTTCAAATATCGCATGAATGTTTTTTTGTGTGTTCATGTTTTGTTTTTTTATTGTTTTCAGCATTTGTTATGTACTTTATGCATCCGATATATCTGACCTATAAGTGATTTTTCCTGATACATTTCTGTTCTTTTAATGTACTAAATTAATAATGGTTTGGTATTCAGTTATATTATTATATTATTGTATGTTGGTTACATATCCTCATTATCCAAGCACAAACATATAAAAATCACACAGGGTATGAGTAAGGGGGATGCATAGGCTCTGTAATGTCTATGGGACTCTTAATCCTGTCAGATTTGCAGCAGTCCCGTTGTCAGCCAGTTTGACCCAGATTAGAGAAAAGCACATACTGTGTGACAATAGTGACAACATTCCCACAACCTTTGCTATTTCTTTTACCAATTGTGTTAAAACACAAAACGTGACAATAGTTTTCTTTTTGGTTTGTGCTGGCAGTGCACTTGTTATTTTATCTAGTTTGCATGTGACCAACCCAATAGCCTTAAATATATACAATTTCTAAATGTCAAAATTCATATCCTGTTGAAATAGTTGTTGTAAAGGAATATTTTACACCAAATATATATGGCAGAGAATGTACAGTGAACAACTTGTATTGTTCAAATGGCTTTTAGAAGAAGATAAATTTGCACATTGAAATCTATGGACATTTTGCGTTATGCTTCTGTTGTCAGGGTGACTTATGTGGTGCTTTTGAATCCTCCCACTCCTTTTCTGTCTTTTGTGCACAGTTTGACCCAGTTCTTCTCTCACTCAGGAACTGTTAGCTCTGTACAGCACTAAAGTCCCCTATGTTTCTGTTAAATGTCTGTAACAACACAAAAGAGACAAAAAAAAATAAATGTTTTGAAGCAGCATTAACATGTGTTTATCATTAATTGTTCAAAACAGAATTTCACTACAGGATTTTTTGGTCCTAAACAATTTTTAAACATGCATCAAAAAGTGAATACCACAGAAATGAGGAAAATCTTATGAAATTTTAAATCTCTGATCGCAAAGGCTCCTAGACTCAGAAAGAAGCAAATCGTAGCCAAAATCGGGCAACCCTTGTTAAATAGCCTTTCAAAAACCACAGAAAACACAGTCATAAATGTGTTTTTTTTACTCAAAATCTTTTTTTGCCAGTATGCAGGAAAATTCAGTTGTGTAAAATAACAAAAAGCACATAGATGCAGACATTTTCTAGTTCCTCATTAAAATAATCTCAAAACACACATTTTACTGTGGTATGGACTAATAATTTAAATATTGTTCATAGCCACACTCTATACAAAAAGTACATTGAAACACCAGTCAGTTACCATCTTTTTTCCACACAAATACTCCAAATTCCCTACACACTCTGCAAAGTTTAAACACTGTCACTTCCTTCTGTGTTTAAATATCCTGGAGTGAAACAGTGCTGTAGGGCTGGTCTTTCTAGTTTGAACAGAAGAGGAGTGCACTTGTAAAGTCTGAAAGTGGATTTGTACAGAGGAGAGAGAGGAGGCAGATATTTGATCCTCCGATGTAACTGATTTCAGGCTACTTTCCCCTCCAGCTTCCTTCCTGCTGTTACTGTATCGCTGAAGCCGCTCAGCACTGGTACTAGGCCTGCACCAGAGGAAAAAACAAGGCAAAATCAGTGGCTGTTCATTAGTTATGACACAATGGGTTCTGTAATGTGGACACTGTGAAACATTTTATTAACTAACTTATCTAAACACAGTAACTTACAGTAGATTCCCTTGTGCCTCATTATTTAGATAGTCTTCAGTTCTTGGTCTGTCATTCCATATTTTTTGAGGCTCCTCCTGTTTGATGTATGCTTGTTAGTAGAGTTACCTTATTTTCTTTATATCAATATTGGCAACATAAAAGTACAGCATCAATTTACATTATTTACCTTCCTTCAAACCTTTACAGGGTAACTATTACACATTTCTCAAGTTACCTTATTGAGTTGAGCTCTCTCCTTTAGCTTCAAAAGGCTACTATGCAGAGTTCTATTTTCCTGCTCCAAAACTTGAATACGGACGCAGTTTGCTTTGAACTGTTGCTCCATATCCAAAGTCACATTGCCTGTACCTTTTTAAGAAGACAAGACTAATTTGCGGCATACTGTATTTGTTAATAGCAGAAGGTAAAATAGACTGACTTTGTGGTGGGGCCTGTGGGTTCAAATCCGGAAAAGCCACCAAAAGTTGCTCCCTCTCTGTACCGGCCTTTATGTGTTCTTTCAGTTCAGCCACAGTGTTTTCCAGATCACATATCTCTGTGAGGAGTGTCTCTTTGTCTTTTTCAAGTTTTACATGAGATTCCTATTGTTAAGAGAGATAAAAGGTTTTAAGCGGGATCAATTAGTTGTGTGCGATGCTCTGTAAATTGAACCAAATGAATAAATAAATTACAATATCACTATTCCCACATTTAATGGTTAAGGACCTTTAATATTGCATGGTTTACAAAAGCCTATAAAACTATAGTAAAATCTATACCTTGCACTTAATTAACTAATTAACAACTAATTCAACCACTGCCACTAGTGGTCAGCTGGAGTATAGGCAACTTATCATCTTTTTATTATTTTATTATTATTAGGTCCTATTTATTACATTTTCAGTAGCAAGCTTCAGGGACCACATACAATGCAGCCACTTCAAGGAGGGGTGCTGTGCAGTGGCATAACTCCACAACTTTTATTAGGTTATTGTTGCATGTATATATAGCTTTTACATATGAGGGCTTTTAGGTAGTTTGTTTACCTGGAGTTGGTTGAGCGTGGCCTGTAGCTGCTCCTTTTCCTCTGACATTTGTCGTATTTGACCATGAAGCTCAATCAGTTTCTCTTCACTTTCTGCCAGCTGTCTCTGCAACTCTTGACACTCTTCATCCAATGCATCTACACGTTCCACAAGACATTTTTGTTTGGCCTGCATTGACTAGACAGATGATGTGAAATCTTTTTTAATATAACTATTGCATAACTGAGCATAAATAAATAAATAAATAAATAAATAAGAGATATTTTGTAGTGATGGAGACTTGCCTGTTGCTGACGACATGCACTGTTGTATTTGGCTTTCTCTTTGTGCAAACAGAGCTGGAGTTCAGAGATATTGACCTCTAGCTTCTGAATCTCATTCTGCAGTTGATGGCTGGAGCTTTCTTTTTCTTCTTGCAACTGCCTAATCTTCTCCTGGAATAAAAGATTTTCAGTTTCTGCAACGAGATACAGAGTGATATTATTTGCAATCTTATCTGCATCAATATGAACTTAAAGATATTCAGTACACTATATTATTTTAGTTGTATTTGAATAAACATATTACCAAGGATTTTTATTCTGTCCTGCTGCACGCAGATTTTCTCCATCAAACTTGTGTTTTTTCCTTCCAAGGACGAGATCTCTGTTACAAGTATTGCAGGTTTACCCAAAAGGATATATTTATGTTATGATTATTAAATATAATCTTATTGTACCTCTTTGACTTTTTTGTTGCTCTTCTTGATGGCTCTGTTGTGTTTCTTTTGCAGATCTTTCTGTTTTTTTCAATAAAAACTCAAGTTGGACATTGGTGGCCTGGTAGTTCTCAACCTTTTCCTTTAGTTCCTTTTCTAGTCTTTTCACATCAGACTTTAATCTATCCTTCTCCCTTTCAGCAGTCACTATTTTATATTTTAGTGGCTCCACTGTCCCACGCACATCTTTTAAGTGTTTGGTCAGACGCCGCATGTCTCTGTACTCCTCAGATCCCCATTGGACAACATCAGTGGCAGTCATTCGACCTAGCTCCACAGTGTCCAGCACAGCAACTGACAGTGGCTGCAGTGAAGAAGGCAATCCCTCGCTTTGAAACAGCTCTATCAGTGCTCCTCCAGTCTTTCTCAAAACAGACTGGGTTTGATAACAGGCATCACAAGGGACAAGACATGATTCAAACGTCTGAGAGCCGACATTTTGAGTGTCCACTTTTGCAGTACTGTTTTGGGTAGAGCTGTGTACACCATGATTCTGTGGCCAGGATGTCAGTGAGCTGTTAGAGGATTTTGCAGATGAACAGTGATCAGTTCTTGAACTTTGACTTGGTTCAAGAGATGATAATACGTCATTACAAAGTGCATGTTTTTTTGTAGGAAGCCTGAAATAAAACAAAGTTTAGATGAAAAGCATCGAATCAATAAGAATCTGGGTTCTCAATGTACATACCTTATATGTTACCAAATTACTCCAATAGTTTCTGACCACAAGGCCAAGCGACACAAATCCGTTCTTCTCCTGATTTTGATTTGTCTTGAATGAGTTTGGCCCTTGATCCACAAAAACACTGAAACTTTGTAGAAGAAGCAGCAGTCTAGTTTATATGGGAAGAAAGTTATTATATTTTAACTTTTAACATAAGAACAATCAGCATCTGTATGCAACCACCAAAATAGTGGAATGCATGCAACATTTGTATATTGGTATAGATATATTGTAGGCCTATACATCTGCATAGAGGCATATCACTTACAAATGGACACGTGTTATGTTTTATGAATGATGACAAAACAATATAATAATAGCCCATATTAACAAAATAACACGCAGCATTATCAATAGGCCTACCTGTCAATCACAAGCTCCAGTAAAACAATGTGGGAGTGCTGATTGAATATGTCCTCTCCTTCTATGAAGTCATACTGGTCCAACAGAGCAACCATGTCCAGATTACAGGACAGTTTATCGGGGAATTTCCAGGAGGTAAAGCGCACAGGACCCGTTCGAGAAAACACGTCTAAAATAGCTCCTTGTAGATCCACCAAATCTTTTCGCAGACTTTCAATACAATCCTGGCGGCCCAAGAATTCATTCATGGTGGTTTAAGCGGTTTCTGTCAGCAGAAGATGTGAAAATTCACATCAGGACACATGGATATTACTTGTTGTCATCTTGTTCCCTTAGCAACTTGTTAGAATGACTACAGCGCCCAGAATACCTTACGGTATTCCCGGAAGTAGTTGTCCGCCATTGTTGAAGCAACGAAGAAAGCGCGACACGCAGTAAGTTATCTAATATAGCTATTTCATTGTGTTTTTACTCCTTAAGTTTGTTATTAAGTGTCAGTGTGCTATATAGTAATGGTAAATTAATCGCTGTTGACTTACAGGAATCGGCCATTTTCAATAAAATCAGCCATGCCACCAGGGCCTGTTCAAATTGTTACTCCTGAGCCTAACAAGGTAAGTTATATTACTTAAAAAGAGCATGCTAGGTAGCAGGATAATTATGTAATAATTTTTGTGGGACCCACAATAGCTACAGTCTTTTAATCATTTGTTGTTTTTTTATTGTTACAGAATGATACAGCGGAGGAAACTCCAGCCACTAAACCAATTGTAGGCATCATCTACCCCCCTCCGGAGGTCCGAAATATTGTTGACAAGACAGCCAGCTTTGTTGCTAGGTTTGTCTCTTTTTATATATTGTCTTTGTTGTGTCTACTTTGGTGATTATAGCACTGTCACTATAATTTTGCAGAAATGGACCAGAATTTGAAGCAAGAATCCGTCAAAATGAGATCAACAATCCCAAGTTTAATTTTCTCAACCCCAATGACCCATACCATGCTTATTATCGCCATAAGGTCAATGAATTTAAGGAGGGTAAGGCACAGGAGCCATCAGCTGCTATTCCTAAAGTTATGCAGCAACAACAGCAGCAACAGCTCCCACAAAAGGTAGCTACATTTAATTTGAATTGTTTTCACTTTTGGTAATCATATTGTCAAGTATTATAATGTCTCTTTTTTTAATCATAGGTGCAATCTCAAGTGATCCAGGAAACTGTGATACCAAAAGAACCTCCTCCTGAATTTGAGTTCATTGCAGATCCGCCATCCATCTCAGCATTTGATCTGGATGTGGTTAAACTCACTGCCCAGTTTGTGGCCCGGAATGGCAGACAATTTCTAACTCAACTGATGCAGAAGGAACAGAGGAATTATCAATTTGATTTTCTGCGACCACAACACAGTCTTTTCAACTACTTCACCAAACTGGTGGAACAGTATACCAAGGTGAGATGTTTTTGAGATTTGATTTTGGAAATGAAAATAAATTTTTAACATATTCTTTCTTCCTGTAGATTCTTATACCCCCCAAAGGCCTTCTCAATAAACTTAAGAAAGAGGCTGAAAATGCAAAAGAAGTAATGGATCAGGTTAGTCACAAGCAAATAAAACAATAATGTGTACAGAAGACAATATATTTCTGACTAACAAAATAATTGAAAAAAACAGGTGAAGTACCGTGTTGAATGGGCAAAGTATCAGGAGCGTGAAAGGAAAAAGGAGGAGGAAGAAAGAGAGAAGGAGCGCGTTGCGTATGCACAAATTGACTGGCATGACTTTGTAGTGGTGGAGACAGTGGACTTCCAACCCAATGAACAAGGTATTATCTCATGCATCATTAGATGTAGACTCAAAATGTCAGCCTTTTTTAATTTTTGTTTTGTTCACAGGACACTTTCCTCCACCAACAACACCGGAGGAGCTTGGGGCACGTATTCTCATCCAAGAGCGCTATGAGAAGTTTGGGGAAAGCGAGGAAGTGGAGATGGAAGTGGAAAGTGAGGATGAAGATGATGAAAGAGAGGAGAGGCGTGAAGGCCAGCCCTCTCAGCCTGATCAGGATACACAAGTGCAAGACATGGATGAGGTATAAAATATTATGATTAGATTTTATACTTTATTATCTACATTTGATGACATTTATCCAGTTACCTAAAAGGAAACATAACATGTTGCCAGACTCCGATAAGGAGGAAATGACCAAGCCTGGCCCCAGGCAGCACCCCATACTTAATTACAGTGCTAATTATATATTCCTTTTGCTTTGTTTAGGGATCAGATGATGAAGATGAAGGAATGAAGGTACCCTTGCCTCCAGAGACTCCTATGCCACCTCCTCTGCCTCCAACACCAGACCAAGTTATTATCCGGAGAGATTATGATCCCAAAGGTATTAATTAATATTTCATATTAGGTCTGTTGTTTGTGTTTTGACCTAATTCATGTGTTGTTTTTCCAGCTTCCAGACCACAGCCCTCAGTGTCTGTTCCAGATGAGTACCTCATCTCACCCATTACTGGAGAGAAGATTCCAGCCAGTAAGATGCAGGAGCACATGCGTATTGGCCTTCTAGATCCACGCTGGAGGGAACAGAGGGACCGCAGCATCCGGGACAGACAGACAGAGGATGAAGTGTATGCTCCTGGTCTGGATATTGAAAGTAGCTTGAAACAGCTGGCTGAAAGGCGTACTGATATCTTTGGTGTTGAAGAAACTGCTATTGGTAAAAAGATTGGTGAAGAAGAAATTCAGAAACCAGAGGAAAAGGTGGGTAGCTCTAACATCATTTTATATCTTAAAAACTATCTTTTATCTAGTCCCGCCTACAGTTTTTGGTAGCAATTTTGGAGTGGGTTAAAGATGGGGGGAAACCATAATGAACATGAGTAGTTTATGGTTGTTTTGTTTTAAATATTGTTATATTCCTCACAGAGGAAAAAAGATTGGAGACCTCTGCATTATGACATGGTTAAAAATTCTTAAAAGTAGATTTTGCATAATAATATGAAGCCTGGTTTCAGTAAAAGAGTAAGGAGTTGTTTTGGCAGATGTTCTTAATATTTAACTCAAAACTAGGTTACCTGGGATGGGCACTCTGGAAGCATGGCACGCACACAGCAGGCAGCACAGGCCAATATCACTCTCCAAGAGCAGATTGAAGCCATTCATAAAGCCAAAGGACTGGTTGGAGAAGATGACACCAAGGAGAAAATTGGCCCCAGCAAACCCAGTGAAATTCATCATCAGCCTCCCATTCCCACAACTTCAGCAGCTTTACCCAAACCCTCTCCTGTTGCTGTGCCACGCCCACCTTCTGCTGTAAGTTGTTTTGAATGCTACTAAATCCATTTCTGCTTTTTATTTGGTTGATCTTCTGCATTTCTGACATTTTCTTATAGGTGCCCCCTCCAGTCCGTACCACATTGCTTTCTGCTGTACCTGTTATTCCAAGGCCACCTGTGCCCCCTGTTGTACGCTTGGCTCCAGGGCAGGTTATCACCCCAATGCCACCAATGATTCCTGCTCCTCGTATAAATGTGGTCCCCATGCCACCTTCAGCTCCTCATCTTATGGCCCCCAGACCACCTCCAATGGTAGTTCCAGCAGGTAAATGGAAAAGACTCATAATACTTGTAATAAATAAACATAAAATATACAACACATCACACCAAGGCATATGCTCAATCTTAAATCTACACCCTCTTTTTTTTTTTTTTTTTCCAGCATTTGTTCCAGCTCCACCTGTACCACAGCCTCCTGCTCCTGCACCTCCTGTCCACCCCCCTCCACCTCACGAGGATGAACCGGTCAACAAGAAAATGAAGACTGAGGACAACCTGATTCCAGAGGAGGAGTTTCTTCGCAGAAACAAGGTATTATTCAAATATTTAAATAGAAACAAACCATTACACTGCTATGCAGTTAATTCTAGTTTTATCATACATCTGTTTTTCTTTTGTAGGGTCCAGTGGCCGTCAAAGTGCAGGTTCCCAACATGCAGGATAAGACTGAATGGAAGTTGAATGGCCAAGTGCTGAATTTCACGGTTCATCTTACTGACCAGGTGTGCTATTTTTTACTTAGAACCATTAAATGTAAACAATGGCTACTAGTGTCTCATGCAATTACAATATCTTCACAGGTATCTGTCATCAAAGTCAAGATCCATGAAGCTACTGGCATGCCCGCTGGAAAACAAAAGCTTCAATACGAGGTATGTTTCTTTGGTGATATGGATTCTGCATGTGATTGTTTTATGTTACTAATACAACTGACTTGATTTTCTAGGGAATTTTCATCAAGGATTCCAACTCTCTTGCTTACTACAACATGGTCAGTGGGTCTATCATTCACTTGGCTTTGAAAGAGAGAGGAGGGAGGAAGAAGTAAATGTAACATCAACACTGATAATACACCTTTATATTCAGAATTGTGGTTTTAGTTTAATAAAATAATAGATAAAATGTGCTTTCGAACACAGGCTTACCCATAAATGTTTGCTGTTATCTTGAATTGTTGCAACAACTTTTATGTAATATAACAAATACAGTAACACTGATTAATAAAAAAAAATCTGCCAAATGTCTTGACCAGCTTGTGTGGTTGCTGTGATTTCTCTGAAAAAGTGCAGTAGTTGGGAAAATGTTATCTTGAATTGGCAACTTCTGGTTTATTGAGTGATGTATTTTACTGTTTTCCTTTACTTTTTTGTCTTTTTAATATTTTCCATATAATATGCCTGTATAACCACAATAAAAGCGCCAAATCAAAACCATACTGTAGTTTGAGTTCCTTTTCCTGCACTACTTACTTTTGCCACTGGGGGGCCAACAACATCAATCCCAGACAGCCCAGGACAGCGGTCTGCTCCAGGCGAAATCTGTCCATCGCACTCGGGAGCATGACAGCGATGGCAGCCGCTCTCATTACGGCTGTCTTTAAGCGCTTTAACTGACCCTGGTATTTGTTAATCGTAATGTTCGTACTGTTACTCAGGGTTTAGACAACTTGTTGAACATTACAGTGGTGAGGGAAGATTTATTTGCTGTGCTGGTACGGGAGACTCAAGTTTACGTTAGCTGCCTTAGCATGCTAGCATTAGACTGTTTAGCATTGAAGAAAAAACTAGCCAGCTAGCAAAGAAACTACCTTTTTGATGTCAAGAGCTCAATAGTAACACACTTTGCCAATTTAAAGTGTTTATCTCGGGTTGTGAAAGTATACGAGTCGAAAAAACATGGCATTGCTTACATTTGATCGGGGAGCGTATGGAGGGAAGTGTTTTTGACTTTGGATTACTGTCAAACCGCTTGCTGGCATTTCCTAGCCTGGATAGCTAACTAAAGCTAACTGTAAGACTAGCTATCGGGTTAAAATGGCAAATATAGAGAATGGTCGTCAGTCTGCGGACACGAGAAGCATCCGGACTGTCAGCAGCAGCCACATAGACGACGAAAGCTCGCTCGGATCCGACTCTGAAATCAATGGATTTACCAGCGAAAGACAGACCGACAAATATGGATTCATTGGAGGGGCACAACAGTACTCGGAGGAGTCGTAAGTCCTTTTAAATGTAACATTTTTGTGTTTATCCAGTGTTTTCCATTGCGTTTGACCAGTCTCGAATAAAATGACCAAATGTCAGGCTATGTCCACCTTTAATTAAACACGTAGGACGTTATAAATCAATATAAAGTATAAAGTAATTCATTTTCAATTGCATGGTCAGTGTTGATGTTTTGGTGTCATTCAACAAAGCGTCTACACACAGCTGCGTGGCACATTTATGACCCTTGTTATTCACTTTCTTTAATCATGTCTGTAGTAATATTTTTAATTGCACAATTTTAATATTTAAACTTAAAGCGACTAAAGCAATATTCCAGCTAACACCCATTTGTATTAACACATGACTATTGTTAATTAGCTCCACTCCAGTTGAGAAAGCACGCATGTCGTCTTCTTTATGGCAGCTTTAATTCAATGACTGGCATACTTTCCATTTATAGTGTTCTGTATAAAGGGTCTTTCATTGTGGCCTTTCACTAGGGACCTAAGGTCTACATTACAGCACACATAGAAAAGCGTTGGAAGAAATAAATGCTGGCTTGGAGCTTTCCCATTTTTTTCTTCAGTTTTGGCAGAGTATTTAACCACAGTGCTGGTGCCTCTTTACTAGAGGGCCTCTTTTGGCTCAAAATTTTAGATTGTCAATGCTTGGTTGGTAATAATGAATTGGCAATTAGGACTGATGCACAGTCTAATACTTTATATGTTCTATGTTACAATGTTGTAGGGGGTTGTCTGGAGTTTAAAAAAGCTTTCCTTGAAAGTGATTGAACCCTACAATTACAGGCTCTTGCTGATGAGATAATTACATGGTATAGTAAAGCAGCAGGCCTCATTCATAATGTAAGGTAGGGATTAAGGCAGAAACTGTATATGCTTAGCTGGATGTAAATGACAAAAAGGACACATTGCAACTCCAATACCAAAAGTACCAATAACAAAGATATTAATTTGTTCTTTTGATTTGGTTTGTTTACACATTATTCTAATATGAACATTTTCTTTTGTTAAAAGTATAAAAAAAAAAAGTCTTTCCTATTAATCTGCAGAGCTCAGGAGGTGCCTATACAGGTGATTAGGCAAAGGGAGCTGAAATGGATCGACATGCTCAGCCACTGGGACAAGTGGATGATCAAGAGGTTCAATAAGGCAAGTGACAGTCTGCTCTACTTGCACATGTTTGCACCATTCACCATTATGATTTGATGATAGCAATGCAAGGCTCTCCAGACGGTTCTTCATTTGGCACAGAAGATACAGTGACTTCCAAATTTAAAAGTGCTCTATGTAACTTTTTCACCTACTTGTTTCTATGGTTGTGTCAATGCTCTTCCTGGCTTTACCCACAGCTTTACCATTTATGATATTACAGGTGGTTTTATAGCTCAAAAATACCTTGAAAAATGCAAAAGGCATTCTGACTGTGAGTGGGGCTGCCTCTTCACAGATCTCACTTGTAATTTGGTCTGGTTTCGTTTCCATGAAAATAGGAAGGTTTAATATTATACAGTGCAACATTAACATCTCTATGGTGAAAAGTATTTGACGGACCCTTCACCAGAGAAGTGACACAATGCACCTTTAATTTAGCCAGTGTATATTTTCACAACTCCAAGTCATGTTTACATGTCTCAAATATTAAATGCACCTAAGCAGGCACATGAAGTGAGTGAAATGGTTGCTACTTGGCTGCTGTTTGCTGCTCAGTTGTCCAGCAGGTTTAGTCAGGAGCATATCAGCACCAAGCTTCTACTTCACTTCTATGAATCAGCAGCAGTCGGGCAGGACACGACCCATCCTTTATCGCACCACGGGCCATGTCTCACATTCAGGGTGGAGTCATGTTAACTTCATAAGAAACGGCTCTGTAATAAAAGGGCTTCAAAGTATAACTTATAGCTCTACTGAAGGCTTGAGTAGGAATATAAACAGTGGCCCATCACATGTTTTATGAAGCATTTAAATGTATCTTTAGACAAAATCTATTCAAGTTAAGTGTCAATTTGTGTAATTGTCTTGTTAACATATTAAAGTGTGAGTAGTAAATAGTTTGTCGTAAGCTAAACACAAACCTTGCAAGAGCAAGAGCCATACATAATACAATGCATTATAATAAAATGTATCTACATATTTAAGTATGTATTCATGTTTTACTCAAATTTGCTCTTAAACACCTAGAGTGTATATTATAATTATTGTTCAAACTGCCATTTTTGGTTTCAAAGAAAAATATGTAAAAATTAAGACTTTTCCTTGACCCAAAAATCGTCTGGCTACATAATTTGGTTTTAATTATTGTGTATCTTTCTATTGACTATTTTTATTGTTTTGTGTCCGCTTAGTGTCACAGGCAGGACCTAATTAGTGTGAGATTATACGGATAGGATTCCTGCTGAAGTTTATAGCAGGGCCCTTAAGAGGGGATGTTTTCTCATAGAAACAACTGAAAGAAGGACTCTTATTCCCGCAAAAAAGTAACAGACAAACCATTAGCGTTCTAATAACAACTGTCTAACACTTTACATTAGCATGTCAGTACTCCCTGTGCTGCTTCTTCCATAGACAGTTAGATGGAGTATCATGTAGGGTGCATGTGTAAAGCTTCTGCTCTATAATTTTGGGAGTAACTGAATAGTTGGAGGCAAAAATTGTGTGTTTATAGAAGCCAAATAAAGCTTGTCACTTTTCCTCACATGTTGTCTATTTTTCTTGTGTGCATCAGGTGAGGTTGCGGTGCCAGAAGGGCATCCCCCCTGCGCTTAGGGGACGTGCGTGGCTCTACCTCTCAGGAGGCAAAGTGAAAAAGGAGCAGAACCAAGGAAAGTTTCAGGTCTGAGAGAAACCACTTCCACTTCCCCTTTCTTCTGTACATTTGACTTGTGTTGGTGTTGGGTTTTAGGGAATGAAACTGATCCGTGGCTTTGGGTATTGAGCAACACATGCCTCAACACATGCATGAAATATGCAAACAATATTATATGTATTTTCTCTGATACTATATAATTTGTTGTACTTTTTATGAAGATCATGTAAACCTACAGCTACTTCATTGCTTTGAAATAGAAAATAGAAAAATTGGGAAAAGAAAATCACCTCCTGATATTGATTTATGAACCAATCCCTCAATATCCTCCAATATTTTATATAATTGCCAATCTATTTTGAAAAACAAAATCAACCCTAAATATCACGCAACGAACAAGAGTTAAATTGTCCAAAGTGATGTTTATGTGTTTCTAATGCAGTTTTTTGCCACATGGATTTTATGTTGGCTAATTTAGCCATAAATAATTTGTCTGATATTCTAGGAAGCTTCAACTGAATTTTCCCTGTACTCTGTATGTAGGAGCTGGATCAACAAGAAGGTGATCCCAAATGGGTTGATGTGATTGAGAAAGATCTCCACCGACAATTCCCTTTTCATGAGATGTTTGTGTCACGGGGAGGACATGGGTGAGTGTCCATTGTGTCTAATTCAATGTGACATTTTATTTATCCATGTAACCTTTGTGTCTTGTGTGTCCACAGGCAGCAGGACCTGTTTCGTGTTCTTAAAGCATACACCCTGTACAGACCAGAGGAGGGATACTGCCAAGCTCAGGCTCCCATTGCTGCTGTGTTGCTCATGCACATGCCAGCAGAGGTAACAGAAAGCAACAGCACATAAATGACTTCCTCTAGGCCCCAAAAACAGTGATTACTTAATAGGTGTTGTACACAGATTCATGTTTTTGTGTTATGTGGGAATAGGACATTGTGTACGATGATTGTTTTACCATTCTATCAAGTGCCAAATGCAGCTGTTTCAAATGATTAGTATCCCATATTTCAGAGTATCACTGGATCAATTGTTCTGTTAAAAGGCTTGTTCGGGCTTGTCATTTTGATTCAATAATGCAGCGTTCAGATGACATCAAAATAGTTGCATGCATGTAGTTATATTTTGTTGAAAGGGTTTAATTAAATTACACTGAGGTTATGTATAAGATCATGGCTTGCACTTAAGATGCATTGTTGAAGTTTGACATTAATTAGTACCTATAATGACTTTAATTAAACAGTTTGGATTTGCATGTGATTTTGTATTGTCATACGTTAGAGGTTGCATAGTTTGTGGGGTAAAAGAGTGTTAGAAAAGTTCAGTTAATTAAAAAACTGAACTGTGCAGTTAAAGTCCTGACATCATCTATACTTGCTTCCTCAGGATGCCTTCTGGGGACTGGTCCAAATCTGTGAAAAATATCTTCCTGGATACTACAGCCCTGGCCTGGTAAGACTGCAGCATGAAACAATCATGTTTCATTTTCAAGATTCTTGATGTTCATGACTAGATTAGTTCATTTATTTAACTTAAACATTACCAAACTATGAGAACTAGTTGGAATTGCATAATTAGGAGTTTAATTATTTAAAAAAAACTTTGTAAGCACACCAAAGATTAAAAACAAGTTGACACATGATTGATGTAATCTTGCACAATGGAAAACCCAATTACTAACTATGCATTCACAGTGTATTTTTATTTGTTCACTGTGCACTGGTGTATCTGGTTTCAGACCAGAGACTACTGTCTGAACACAATGGAGTTTGTTTTGCAGGAAGCCATTCAGTTGGATGGAGAGATACTGTTTGCATTGCTGCGTCGTGTTTCTCCAATCTCCTATCGTCATCTAGAGAAGCACAAGATTGACCCAGTCCTCTACATGACCGAGTGGTTTATGTGCGCCTTCTCCAGGACCCTGCCCTGGGCCTCTGTGCTGCGCGTCTGGGACATGTTCCTCTGTGATGGTAACACTGGCTAATCCTGACCCACATACATATGCATTACTAAGTTTCTGAGTTTTTATAGAGTGACATTATTACATGTAGAATCTGAAAAGAACCAAATATGATTTCCAACTATTAATAATTCACTTTGGTTCTCAGGTGTGAAGATTATATTCCGTGTTGGTTTGGTGCTGCTCAAGTGTATGCTGGGTACTCGAGAGAAACTGAAGAGCTGCCAAGGCCAATATGAGACAATGGAGCTACTCCGAGCCATAGAGCCACGCTACATGCAAGAGGGTTTCCTTGTGAGAGAGGTATACAGCAGCACAACAAGCACTGTTATCCTAAATGTAAAATGTTAACTACAACACAACATGCTTCCCTTCTCTTACACCAGACATCTTTGTATTTTCTACCTATTCTTCTTATTTATTTATTTTTAAGACATTAATTAATCAAAGTATTCTCACTCTCCAGAGATATAGAAATATAAATAGAGATATAGAAATATAGAAATATAAATAGACTTAGACTAGACTAAATAGATCTGTAACTCTCTATCTCTCTATAAAAGCAACGTAGCTTAGATGGTAATATGACCTTTGCTTGAAAAAGCTGTTTCTGCATTTTAATAGTTGCCAACATAAGGCCAATACAATGACAATGCCTTGTTGTTCATAATCTTGTCATAATCTGCTACTATTTAAAAACATCTAGCAAAGTCAATCCTGTATTTTTCATTCACATCATAATATTAAAAAGAACTGTTATGCTAGTGTAATTCTAGAGAGCTTGCTTTCCTGAAAGTGTTAAATGATATGGCATGTAACCTGTTGTGGGATAATTGGTGTTTTCGGTGTTTTTTTGTTGACACTTGGGTTAGACAGTCCACAAAAGTATCTTCATTACAGACTATATGTTTTATTAGTGGTGTATACGGTATGTACATATAAGTTGTTTTTTCCTGGTCCTCTGCAATAAATATGCGGTTAATATTTCACAAGTCGTAAAAGTAACACAGAAAACATGTGACTGAACTGTACCAACACTTATAATCCTTTAATTATGCAATGTGCTTCTGTTGCCATGGAGCTGACACTGACAATGACTGTTTACAAGTGCTGCAGAGGAAATCAGCAGTAGATGACAGTGTATGAACTAAACACCCTGACAAACTGCTGGTCAGTGAGGGAGCCTCTGTCTGCATGAACAGTACTTGTCCTTATGCGTGCTGCTACTCTGACAGTGGGTGACACACTACGTACACAGAACCAGAGGAAGCCCTTTTGGCATTTGCTGACAAAAGTTCACATTATGAACCCAGTGGAAACCAGAAGGAAGCTGCATAGTTTCCAACACATGCAGCTGCTCCTGACTTATATAGAAAGTGGTATCTTTTTTCTTTTGTTATGTTTTGTTCAGAATTTCAATTACATTTAGAATTTGCTAAATATATTGTGATATTTTGAGGTATTATTTTGACATGGCAAGTGTAATTACAGTAAAAATATGAATTGATTTAATATATTGTAATTTACAGTGCAACTAATTTTGTTTTGTGATAGATTCTAGAGGTGCCAATAACGGCCCGAGATGTGGAAAGGGAACATCACAGCCAGTTAAAGCGTTGGAAGAAGAAACACGGTGAGCTGAACTTCAAGTCTCCTCCCAGAATGCATGGTGCGCGGATCATAATGCTGGCCGAACCTCCGCGTCGACAGGACCTGCTACAGATCCCCACTATTGTCCTGGAGCAGCCCACCCCACAGATTAAGAAGGGAAAGGAGGAGAAGAAAAGCAAGAAGAGGAGCATGAAGAAGTCTAAGCCCATTGAGGAAATACCCAATCCATACCCACTGCCATCTGACCTCTCACCTCCGCCCTCTGTTAACCCTTCACCCTCTCCTCCTCCCACTGAACCTTCCCCTCCACCCCCTGAACCAGCACCAGCCCCACCTGCTCCACACACCAGCGGTCGAATCGAGACTGTTCTAGAGACTGTGCCAGAGACTGAACCAGGACCACCTCTCCAGGGTCCTGCAGCCTCAGACCCTCCTGTTGTAGACCCTCCTCCACCTGCCAAAGAATCCCACCTCCAGGCCTCCACCCAGAGCCTTAGCAGCACAGACCAGGACACCTACCTGTAGCTCCTTACACAATGGGGTGTGCTCACATGATGTCAACCTTCTACAGGGCCAAGAGTTAAATATAGACCTTTGATAGTATTGGATATTTACATGAATAATATTTGTATTCTAAAATAGCTTTAGTGAAGGTGTAAGGTTCAACAATAGTATTAATAATTTTAATTTTGAGGCAATTTCAGATTTCTTCCCTACAGAGTGTTCCTAACACATATGCCCTTCATCTGAGCTTTTGACATCTTAGGTCTAAAATGTGAGCACATCCTATTAGAAATGGAAAAGAATACACACCAGCTAAGCACCAGCGGGTCACAATGATCCATGTCTTCCATTTAAGTATTTTCTATTAACTTTTCCAGTGTAGACACCACTCTGCCTGATTTACCAGAGGCTTACACTGAAGTGCCATTGGTGAACTGCTTGTATGCCACTTTATACAAACAATGCTGATGTTAGCGCCTTTATGATACTCTTTTTACATCAGGGCAGAAGTTTTATGCTTTTGTAAGGGAGACAGGTTACTGAGTCATTTATTTCAGTTCACTAGTGAAGAGGTCCCTTCTGACCTCAGTTAAAGTCATTTCATGGTCACCAGATGGCAGCATTACCCTTACATTTCCTGTGATAAGTGGGGTTTTCTGTTTTGGTTGTGGACCATTTGTGTGTTGCAATTTTGGTTTGAAACAAGTTTCTGAGTTGATTTAATAGGTGTGCTACATTCTCATACCCTTACTACACTTTATTTATTGAATACATAACCTGACGTTTCTCTGTTGTGCCAATTCTAGTGGATCTATTGACAGCGGAAGTACATTGACATTCCTTAGTGGGTGCTACATTTAGATTTATTAATACTATAATTCATCTGACTTGGCCAAATCATTTTAATTTTTGTGCACTTTTTTTGAGACATATGTTTGCAGTTCACTTGATCGATGTCTTGGCTTACTTTAACCTTTAGTGCCAACCAAGATCATGTTTTTTAACTTTTTTGAAACCTTTGCTAGATTTTCCAAAGTGAATCAATATTTGTTGTAATTTTGACCACAACCTGTGACAATATTTTATAACTCCAGTTAAGGTGTGGATTTTTAACAAGTGTTCACTTTTTTAAAGATCTCTTTAGAAAAGACAATCTTTTTACTTCTCATTGTTTATCTTTGTTATGGGAGATTTAAAAATGGTGAGCACATGTTGCGTTTTTACATTTGATAAAAAATGTTTTGCAGAATGCATGGCAGTTATTTCACTCATGTTGACATTGACAACACTTAACTTTTCCTTGCTGCTTGTTCTACAAATGTTGCGTTTGTTATACCTAATTTAAAGCTGTGTGTGTAAATTGTAAAATATTTTGTAAGAAATGTATTTTCAGTTAATAATGCTATAACCTGAACAGTGGCATAAACATTCTCACATTTACAAACTGACACTAGACCAATGAACTTTTCGCTCTTGTCTGTCATATCAGGGTTATGAAAAAAACACATTATATCCAAGTCAAATTGAACAAATAAATGTTTGTAAATCCACTTTTTCTCTTGTGTGCAGTTTTATTTAAACATGTTGTGAGCTTGAGGACAACAAATTAAAAGGGCGTCTGTATTCTGTCACTGGGTCCTTTGCCTCAAACTTGCTGTTGTTGTTTTCACCAGCAGGTGGAGCCAATGTTTCTTCAAGGCCATTAAAACCTCTTCATGTTCCGAGGGGGCTGATAAAAGCCCTTGTACTTTTCCTTAATTAATTTCTGTTCGTCCTACTTCTGACAAACGGTAACTATCAATCTCATGGACATGTTAAACATTAATGGAAATCTGCCACACACTTATTTTCTTAAATTTACCCTCCAAAATTTTGGTGGATTTTAAAATCTAACTTTCCTCTCTGTAGAGCTTCTTCCCACTTATAATGAGAGTACGGAGAATGTTAGAGGACAGCAGAGGCCAAACCTACAAGGCCTCAGCTTCACAAAGACTCCAGCTATTTGTTTGTGCTCCAAAGGGCTCAGAAACAGATTAAACAGATAGTTTAAACTGAGATTCATTATAGTCAGGCGTTTTAGGAAAACAGGCCAAAAGTTGAAGGGGTTAAATTAGTTGACTTCATATTCATGCATCCTTCCTGGCTCCTATACTGTTAAAGACTTGCCCCATTCAAAGATTAATCGACTAAAAAGGAGGTGCAGCATGGCACTGACAGTATCTCAGTTGCGAGGATCTCTGCTTGTAACTAAACTAAATGTAAATGATAAGGCAAAGTAAACTGTCCTTTCATTCCCAAAACACCTGCTAACTCTCTTCATGCACAGGCCTTTTTGCTGTGGAAGTCATGAACCAAAATAAGGAGAACTATGTATAGGCATGCATACACATATGAATGTAGGACAGCAGATGCCGTAAACTCCATTTTTTACAGCTTGAACAGCTTCCACAGAAGGTCAGCCCTGGTCGAGCTACTCGTTAGCACTAATGACAGGTTGCTATTCTTTTTGTAATGTACTGTTTTAGTGTCAAATGTCCTCACTGCCACCTCGAGGTGTGGGACCATTTAAACCTGTGCCTCAGGTCTAAAGGATTTAACTGCAAATAGCTACCTGCATGACCTCTGTGAAACCGCCAAGTCATTTCTAATGACCTGAAGGTCTGGACGCAACTGCTGACCTCTTTCCTAGACTAAAGCAGCCAGTTAATGTTTATAATAAGTCTTTCCAAATGAGCCATTGACAATGGCCTACAGTGCAAGTCTAGTGCATTAAAAAAAAAGTGTGACAAAAGTGCATATAAATCAATGCGGAACATTATACACACATATGCTGGGCTTCTGTGCTTTGTGGGGACATTACATTTACTTACATAAAAATTTTTGCACAACCTTAACCATAGACACTTGCCTATCCCTAACCTAAATCCTAACCCTTAATCTATTTTATTCTATTGTTATCCATGAACTTCAAATCATGTTTTTCACCTAATTATACCTGACCTGATTTGTGTCACCTTAAAGGCCTCTAGGAGAGTCTATACAGATTTTAGTCTTCACAATGTGATAAACAACTGCAGACAAAAATTATGTACTGCCATAAGGGCTTTTTCAAACATACTGTCATTAATCAAATATAAATTTCAAGTTCTACAGTTTAACGGTTGATTACAGATATATATATATATATATATATATATATATATATATATTATATATATATATATATATATATATATATATATATATATATATATATATATATATATATATATATATATATATATATATATATATTATATATATATATTTTTTTTTTTTTTGATCCCCCACCAAAATTTCTCAGCAAAAATATTAATATCTCTACCATAGTCAATCAAGTGCTCCAATAAAGACTTCCACCGTATGCTTCAGCTATAAATTTGTGTTACAAAATGCTCACCTAATAAAACATGTACTTCAGTCTGGACATTTGGTCTACTAGCCCATTAAACTCCATTACAGACTGTTGATGTTGGCCGACAAGAGGCACGTTAACGGTTAATGCTCTCGCTCCCAGAGGAATGCATGCACCGTCACGCTTTGCCTCTTTGCATGGGACACCTGGCGTTCTTTCAGTGCCACCGTGCCATTTACATCTCAAAGCACCTCGTCCAAGAAGGCTCTCTCTGTCCCTCTCTTCCTTACTCCAGTGATGATCTGATTTATCTCTGCATCAACGGAAATATCTGCCCCTTTAGAGTGCCATCCCGTCTCTCCTAGCCCCCTTCACTCAAACAGGGGTAGCAAAGACAGACACTTGTGATCCTCCGTGCAAGTCCAGACCAAGCAGACCTCATCGTCACAGTACTTGATTCATGTGATGTGGGTGACTGTCAGTGTGTTTAAGGGTATAAGGGGAGAGAGAAAAAATGTGGGTATGGCATGAAACTATAGCTAAAGACTCTTGTGTTGCCTTCTGAAGTATCCAATTCCCACGTTTGATGGAGCACGACAGCTTGGGTCAGATCAAATTAATAGGCAGTGGTAACAAATATGAGGGCTTTGTGTTTTGTGTTGGCAGTCTGCGCAGGTGAACTCGCCATAGCAGCAGAAATAAAACTAATTTATGTCACCGGTGGAACAAGAGAAGGAGGATCCCGGGCCAAAGGTTGAGCTGGATAATTGAATCATCTGTGTTGTTCTTTCACTCAAGAGTCCAACTGCCCACTGATAACCCCTAGACCAAAATATTTATATCTGCTATTTATAATGTTGTGCTCTTTCTCGCCTGATAAAACTACTCTTTTTTAAAACTTTGCAAATGTTTTCTGTTAGCTCTTGCCAGCTATTTAAAATCATAATAAGCAAAGACTACAGTTGAAGTCTTCAGTCTGCTTTCCTAAGTCTTGGCACATTTGGTTCCATCATTTTTCTTCCATTTATGGGCTCCAAATTGAAAATATATAAGGCTAATACTTTGAGGTAAATTTAACGTTCAAAAACAACCCAAACCTCTCTTGGGTGCATTTAGTAAAGTGCTTTAAATGTCATCACCGTTCTCATTCCAGCAGCTACTCCCAGCGGGCACACAGCCTTGCATTAGCAGATGTTAGAAGGGAGAGGAGAAGTAATTTAGCAGTGTTTACTACTGTAGTGGTTGCTTGTCAAGATGCATTTAAACATATGAATGAATGTGAACAAGCTAAATGAAACGTTATAATTCCAAGCCCACTGCTCTGCCTAAAGGGTATTTTAAATAGGGGGGTTGTGTGCTGGTAAGTGGTGCACACCTGTATAGCCTCCTCCAGGAGTTTTAGGCATTTTGTTTAATCTGTGTCCCCCCAGAGCACCGTCCTTCTGCCCTTCTGACCCTGTTCATCTCTTGGCTCTGAAAGGCTGGAGGCACAACTCTTGACAACCTGTCAGTGTAGGTGGGTCCAATTTGCAAACATAGGTTGACTAAAATTGTGGTCACATCACTATATTGTGATACTAATGTCAAAATCTCCGAGGGCAGAGATGAGTATAGATGTATGGATAAGAGAATGTGATGAATTAGCTTGAATCTTTTTAATAAAGAGGTCTACAGCATTAAAAGCATGGAGTTTGGAGCACTTTGTGGAAAGAATTTACTATTACACTGATTACATTTTTGTGTATATGAAATTAATATTGAAAGGCATTTTTATTTTGTATTTGAAAATAAAATAAAAATGCAAATTGAAAAACAAGACTGATAAATATGGTATAAAAGAGATAATTTGCTTTGGCCGTATCGTCTTATGTAAAAGTTTTTCAGAGAATTTAAACTATAGACCCTTTAATGTTGTAGTGCCACATGAATCAGATTTGCTAATAGCCTGATACAACACAGCGCTATCTAATGTTTGAAGAATGGATTACCTGCTGTCCACTGGTTTGTCTCTTTTGGTGATGAGCAACTCCTCAGATATCTGCAAGGAAAGGGAGGAAGGCATAGTCAGTCATTTCTTTGTGCTTATTTTGTTAGGGTTTACTAGAGGCCTGTTTCAGATGGGCTAAAAAGCTGTATATTATTTCCATGTGACATTTTCCAATGCAAATCATGTGCACCTAACAGTTTTTGTAATTAGGCTTAGGATCAACAGTGGTGGCTGCTACAAAGGTATCAAGTATGGGTATTAATGAGTTTCAGAATATATTATACATTCTGTTTTGTTTTAAATTGTTAATTGGTTCTAATTTTTCATCAATCTGAAACACATTGATAGGTATACATTATAAAGACTTTGGATAACTGTCAGATAACTATTGTGGTTGCATTTGCCTCACAGCAGTCTCCACTACCCTTTCCGTTGCCTCTTCTGCTTTTGGGTGGTGCTGAATCCACTGATAATGAGTAATTAAGGGAGTCAGGTAGGGAATTAGCTGTAAACGGCTCTCTCTAGGTGTTTGTTTACTTGGGTTAGGCCTGCGGAGGCTCCTTGCTGGCGGGTGATAAGTTACAGACACAGATGGTGGGCATCAGTGGACCGGTCGGGGGCAGATTAGCACACTCCCCTGTCTGGGCAGTGCTGTCCCACTCCCACTGAGCCCCACTGGAGAGCTGTCTGTAACTCTAGTCGCTCTGGCATGCCCCGTGTGTTGACGGAGGCCGGCCGCAGGCTTATCTCGTCTCATTCCACCAGCACTAGGCCTATAGTGGAGTTCGGCTCATGGAGAGGGGGAGGCTTATGAGTATGGGGGGAGTCTGTGTGAAAATAGCCTTTGTTTTGAAAAAGTAATGCAGTTGTCTTTCATTAGCACAGATTTAGTAATTAGAAGAAACTTAACACCACTAAAATGACTCATATAAGCATTATTGCAGATGTCCAAATAACATGACGCTATAACCGCAGCTAGGACAAACATACATTATTTTGTGGGGAGGATATTGTTAATTTAGGAACCAAACATTTTAAGGAAACTGATATGCAAACACTGTAACCTATTACTATAACCTAACATAGCCTTTATCACTTCAGTGGGCACTAACTTTCTGTTTGTGTATGCGTGGGGGGGGGGGGGGGGGCTGCTTATCTGCCTTGACTAT